TCCGGAACAAATATCATAGCTCCATGAATTTTGTTCCAATTAATATTACATGTATTTAGAGTTATAAATAAGATAAATATTTAAGTTTCTGTGATAATAGTTTTAAACGAACATGTACATATTTCATAGAAATTAATAAGTTCCGCTCAAACATATTTTCACAGAAATTAGTACTTTTGCAACATATTGCACAGCGAAATATTTTCTTGTTACACTTAAATTATAATGCAAGCTAAATGCTGTACTGAGTGTGCTTGCATGGGATACATTTGCAATCAAGGGATGTCTGTAACCATAGGATGAAGATACGAAATAAAGCCATTGAAAAGTATTATTATTTGTATTTATTTTTTATGTAGTATTCCTTCTTGGTTCCTTTTAACTGTCATGGCCCCTTGTTCTTGTCATACATGTACTGAGGTCATGACACAGTTTCAAAAGAGTATGTCTTTTGAAACTACATGTCTTTTGATACAATTGATCAGTTATTATGTCCTTTTCAAATAAGTACATATGTTCATCCTTAACTATACTTTTTTTCTGACTGATTTTTCTTATTCTACTCTTTTCTGGCTCAAAAGTGTCATTTTGATATTTTTACAGAGTATACAACTAAACATGCTAAACATTTGCTATACTCCACAGGATCCGAATTGGATGATTTATACTTTTTGCTTATATTATTAATATAATACTTATTTTTATAATGCATATGAATGATAACTTTAAAGCACTGATGACAAATGCTCAGTATATAAGATAACTTGTTTAACCATTGGAACATATTTTACAGACAAGGAACTTATTTCACCAGGTGAGGAACAAAATATCTCAATTCAATTTTTGTTAAAATCAAACTTAGTTTAATTTTGGACCCTTTGGACCTTAATGTAGACCAATTTGAAAACGGAACCAAAAATTAAGAATCTAAATACACGGTTAGATTCGGCATATCAAAGAACCCAAATAATTCAATTTTTGATGAAATCAAACAAAGTTTAATTTTGGACCCTTTGGACCTCAATGTGGACCAATTTAAAAACGGGGCCCAAAATCCAAAAACTTAATGCACCGTTAGATTCAGCATATTAAAGAACCCCAAGAATTCAAGAATAAAACCCAATTGAAATTGGTCAAGAAATAAGCAATTTATACGAAGTATCTTCTTTTGCACAATACTGTGCAATTGAATATTTCTTGCTATTGCGCAATACTGCACAATTGACAATTTCTTGCTATTGCGCAATATTGTGCTATTGGATATTTCTTGCTATTGCGCAATACTGTGCAATTGAAGATTTCTTGCTATTATGCAATACTGTGCAATTGAAGATTTCTTGCTATTGTGCAATACTGTGCAATTGAAAATTTCTTGCTATTGCACAATACTTATTATATAATAATTTACACATCCTGTTTGGTGTGTATCTCCTACCATATCATTATTATTTGCTTTTAAATATAAATCAGAAATAACCAACTTAAAATAGAAAATTTAAAAAAAAAAAAACCCAAATTTTTTGAACCCCCTTATGATTCATCACCCCCAAACTCAATCCCAGCCTTCCCTTCGTGGTATGGTACCTTGCAGTACAATTTCAGAGAGATCCATACACTTGAACACAAGTTATTGTCTGGAAACTAGAAAAATGTGTTTTTTGGCCCCTTTTTGGCCCCCAATTCCTAAACGTTTCGGGCAATTACCCCCAAACTCAATTCCAGCTTTCCCTTTGTGATATGGAACCTTGTAGTACAATTTCAGAAATATCCAAACACTTACACACAAGTTATTGTCATGAAACTAGAAAAATGCTTGTTTTTTGCCCCTTTTTTGGCCCCTAATTCCTAAAATAAGTCTAACACATTGACAAAACTAATGACACACATATTTGAAAAACTGCTCAAAAGACATGAGAAGTATTGGGGACTATATTTCAGAGGGTATAGATCTGTAGGCTTAAATGGCTACCTACTGGTTAGTGGAGCCATGCTTTAAGAAATTAACAATAGTCCCAATCTTTCTAAAAATGACAATAATAGTTTGTTCTTCTCCAGATTTCTATATCATGCCTTAAGGTACTGACTTGTTTTGTGGAAAGAAGTTGCATAATTACATTGTTGCGTACAGGACTTTCAAAAATGAGGTCCCGTCAAAATTAAAGGTGCAGCAAAAATCTTAATGTACCAATAAACAATTTTTTTGCAGTAACCCCTCCCTATGTTGGAAGTTACAGATTAAACATATGATTTACTCTGTTGTCTTTGAATTATAGCCCTAATGTTTATAGGAAACTTGTACTTCTCTCGATATTGTGCCTGCGGATGCATATGAAATAATTCCAGATTAAAATCAAATCTAATGGAAATTGTTTAGTTGGTAATCAAATAAGAAAGTTGGTAATCTAATAAGAAATTATGTTAAAAATGCTATTCGTACACACACAAAACTCCTTAAATTTGTCTAGTGCCTGAACCCCTTAGCCTGTTTCAAGCCTGGTAATTAAATTCTTGCTTGGATCTTTTCACCTTGGGTTGATGTTAAACTTGCCTATCACCATGTACATGTATGATAGGGTCCTTTCTGCAGAGTCCAAAGTCTTACTATTCTATTTTTAGAAATTTCTGCACCATTTCAATTTTGAGATGCATCCATTTTTGTCGAGCCTGCGTCTTTTATCGCAAAAGCGAGACATAGCGATCCTACATTCAGTCAGCGTCGTCGTCGTCCACAAATATTCACTCTGTGGTTAAAGTTTTTCAAATCTTGATAACTTTCTTAAACTATCCTGGATTTCTACCAAACTTGGACAGAAGCTTATTTATGATCATAAGATAGTATTCAAAAGTAAATTTTGTTAAAAAAAATCCTGTTTATTCGTATTTTACTTATAAATGGACTTAGTTTTTCTGCTAGTTAACATTACATTCACGCTGTGGTTAAAGTTTTTTAAAATTTTAATAACTTTCTTAAACTATCCTGGACTTGTACCAAACTTGGACAGAAGCTTGTTTATGGTCAAAAGCTAGTATCTAGAAGGAAATTTAAAAAAAAAAATTCCTGTTTTTCCGTATATTACATATAAATGGACTTAGTTTTTCTTCCAGTTAACATTACATAGTCTGCAGTTAAAGTTTTTAAAACATTTATTAGATTCATAAACCATCCTGGATTCTTACCAAACTTAAAGAAGCTTCTTACATTCAAAAGATAGTATCTAGAGGAAAGTTTTTAATAATTATTTCCCCATTTTTGTTGAGCCTGGGACTAACAGCAAAAGTAGGTGAGACACTGGGTTCCGCAAAACCCTTACAAATTTTTTTATGATAAACACTTTTCCTACTATAAGCTTATGGTTGAAATTGAAACATTTGCTTATCAAAATTATTTTGTATATATGATTAGATTGTCTAATTTACCGGTATACCTTTTGACAGCTGTAAAGACATGAACACACCAAGACTAGACTTCTGTATTGAAATATGGTCACCTAGACTTCTGTCTCACAGAAAAACTATGCTGGGGGCATCTTTTTGATTGTGCAGTTTGTATTAATATGCAGCCCAGCTAGATTGTAATGTGGATGATAAATTGCATGTAAGCCAGTGTTACGTTCTCTGCACATTAAAAAACCCTGGCAACATCTCTGGAGCGAGTTCAAAAGAGGCCTTTTGACAAATTCCTGACCTTGTCCAATATTTTCACTTTTTCAAGTGACACACAAAATTATCATCCTGATTGACACAATTTGCATAACCTACCAATTGGATTTATTGTTAATTTGTTCTCAATGGATATTTAGTTTAAGATACATGATTTTTTTATTTATTATAATTGGCTTTGAACTAGCTGTCAGTTACTGTGAGTACTCTCAGATCTTTACCAAGTGTCTTTTTTGTTGTGGGATTTATAGATACCCTGCTACATCTGGTCTGTGTTTTCATTAGATTTTTTCTCCTTTGTATAGATCTGATGTGTTAAGCACTTTTCAACTGATTTTTAGTTACTGTTACACCACTGTCCCAGGTTAGGGGGAGGGTTTGGAGCCAGCACTAGTTTAACCTGTCACATTCTGTATGTGCCTGTCCCAAGTCAGGAGCCCGTAGTTCAGTGGTTGTTGTTGGTTCATGTCTGTCATATTTGTTATTCGCAAATTGTTTTGTTATAAATTAGGCTGTTAGTTTTCTCAATTGAATTGTTTTATATACTGTGGATTCATTTATTTTCGTGGGTATCAATTTTCGTGGATTGAGGAACACTTGCATTTTCGTGGATATTTGATTTCGTGGTTTTGCCAATCTCTGCATACAAAGCCAAATTAACATTTGTAATTCGTTGAACATTTGAATTCGTGGTTCACTTGTACCCACGAAACCCACGAAAATTGGTATCCAACGAAAAATAATGAATCCACAGTATTTTTCATGTCGGGGCCTTTTATAGCAGACTATACGTATGGGTTTTTCTCATTGTTGAAGGCCGTACAGTTGCCTATAATTGCTTACATCCACTTCAATTGAACTTTGGTGGAGAGTTGTCTCATTGGCAATCATACCACATCTCCTTATTTTTATATTTTAAAAGCAAACCATAATCAATCAATTCTAAAAACGAAAGATTTATTCCCTTTTCTGTGTTGGAAGATTGCCATATGATGTTTATCCAATTAATATCTTGAGCGGGAAGGGGTTCTTTGGACACAGTTTTTTCAACTTAATCAATTTATTTTTCTTTAAGATATACATAGAATCAATTTATTTATTTACAAAAACTTTTACCAACACATATACAAAAGATGAATTGTTTGGTGCGGATCCAGGAATTTAAAAAGACAACATTAGATGTGATCAGATGTGGGACTTGTAAAAAGTCTATATATTAACCATATATGTAGCTCAATAAAGGAGGCCCCCACACTAAATCATCCTCTGTTTATGTCATGTTTGTGGAAGGGAATAAATGAATAGGATCCAGAAAACCTGTCATTTCAATAAATAAAACATTTAATTTTGTACTGCTTTATTTTCAACAAGCTAAACAGTTTCAGTCATGATGTCTTATATTATCTCAACAAATCATTGAACACAACTAATACTTCAAAAATGTACTTTTACTAATATCTTAAAGAGATCAATTAACAAAATTGTATACTGATCTGTACTACATAGTGAAAAGGGGGTACTGAGAACTCTCAAAATTAGTTATTTCAACTGGTTAATGTGCATGTTGCAAGTCAGGAACTTTATCACAGGTCTTTGTTTTTTGTAGTGTTTCTGTTTTGGTATTGTTGTATTGTTGGTTACTGTTGCGATACCCTATCTACTTCTATTTGCATTTTAAGTTATGAGAATATAATGTGTTCACTTAAAAATAATCTGATAACTACCATTTCTAGCTCTTCAACCAAGATAGTGATGAGTTGCTAGATTTTCTACAATATTTAAAACTGTCATTCCAGATAATAAATTATATCACAAAGGAACAAGTTTTGTCTTTATAGCTTATTCATGTTTATCTATGTGGGTATAGCACCAGTCCTGTTGACAGTTTCAGAAGTCTATTTTACTTTTGCCTGTGGAACCACATCCTGCTGGAGATTTTTTGTACACTGGATCTTCTTGGGGTCTACTGGCTGTTTCTGACAGCTCTGGAGGAAGGTGAAGTTTCTTTTAAAAGAAAATAAAATCAATCAATAATAAAATCAAGACTAATAATCCATCAACAATCTCTAAATAACTAAGCACCAGAAATCAACCCCGGTTTTTAGTGGGGTTGATGTTGCTCAGTCTTTAGTGTTTTATGTTGTGTTTTGTATACTTTGTTCGTCTTTTGGTCTTTTTTACTTTTTTGCCATGGCATTGTCAGTTTATTTTTGATTTATGAGTTTGAATGTCTCTTAAAACTCCTTTTGTATCTTTCACCTTTCTTTTTTAACTACTTTACATCTATATTTTGAATCAGATGTTGTTACAAAATCTTAGGTGATCATATTTTTCTTTGTGTTTAACATGTGAAATGGCTCATTTCGAAGGTGGGACCTTTTTCACTTATGTGGTTTGAGAAATGGGATACCAGTGTGAGATTAAATTTCCACAATTTAGAAAATCTGAATGGCTTTTTGTGATACAGCTTTTCAGAGTAAAAATGAATTTTAGACAATGAAATTCTGAGGAAATTCATTTCTTTGCTAATATTAACCAATTCCATAGTTTTTACATCTAATTATATTTTATGGTTCTCTGTATTTTGTGCATGTAGCAGTACAGTTATAAAGCTAACTCAATTGTTTCAAATAGTAGCATATTCGATATCCTTCATTATGCAATTGATGTCAATCAAAATGATGTATATTAACAAGAAACATATACATATTCTTATAACTTGTGCAATGTTACGTCTGTGGTTTGAATTCAGTCCACATGAAAAAATATTGTATGAATTTAAAAGAAGACTTTTAATGAACATCATGTCATGGGTCAGAAAAATCTTTCCTGTAGTAATGAAGTATCTGTAAAAGCGTTATACACAAGTTTGTGATGCAATTGCTTGCATTCTTCAACCAGTGCCATTTAATGACAAAACTAAGTGTTTTTCTCAGTAGAGGACTTTGCTCTTTACAAATACATGTAATACAACCTTATAATATTACTGCCTTCAAAATGAGAATTTCATCAGGTTGCTTTTTGAGAAATTTTTCAATATATTTTTAATCTATAGAAGTTATTAATCCTATCATATATTTTGTCCATGCATCATTTCTTATACATCTAAATGTTCATTTGTACTTCTTTCAAAAGACAAATTTTAAGCATGTGTAAGTAGGTGTAAATAAACCCCCAGGGTATTCAAATGGTTCAGTATTTTTTCAGAGTATAATTAGACAATATACGTATAGTGTCTTGAAATATGAAATTTATTTGTATGAGGCTATGAAACGGGGGGAAATGCGAGGTTTACCGAGCATTTCCCCGTTTTGTGCCGAATACAAATAAATTTCATATTTCAAGACACTATACGTATATTGTCTTTATACTGAAATCGATAAAAAAACATAAAAAAAAAATAAAATACGTAACAAATTTATTGTTAAAAAAAAAGTGTTTGGAATTTCCCTCTTGGGGTACCATTGTTGGGTATTTCCCTATAAGCGTAGTAACTCATAAAGTCCAGGCGATAAGACATTGACATTTTTAGGAATTAGAAAGAGAAAATTAACTAATTTGATAATATTTAATAAACATGGTATATAAATTACGAATTTCAAGACATAACAAGTTTAAATTTACAAAAGTTTGACAATTGTTACCACACGTTGTCATGGTTGTGACGTGACATTGTTGATGAAATACAGTAGTTCCGGTAAGTAGGCGTGGCTAATAGGTTAGTTGAGGTCATTGACGTATAAAGCTAACGTTTATACGTATAGCTTTATCTGTATAGTTAAATAGCTGATTGCAGTGTAAAACAAATTTAAACAATAGTCCTTCAAGTGTTATTGGTGATTTGTAACTTGTTAAGTAAATTGACAAAGTAAATTGTCTTATTGATACTGACCAATTGCAGGGATGTAGCAGGATTGTGTGTGGAGTGCACACGGAAGTGGTTTTCAGAGGGTCCAGGCCAAAAGTCTGCAGCAGGTCAAGGGGCCAATCAGAAGCTCGGTATTTAGCAATTATCCTTTTGTCTCTCTTCCCCTCTCTTCTTTCTCTCATTTATTTTGGGTGTTTTGCTACACCACTGAAATTGCCAGGTGTTTAATGATAAAAGATAATAAAATGCTTCGCTGGGGCGCAGCTTGATACGACCGCAGAGGTCGAACCCTGAACAGTTGGGGCAAGTATGGACACAAAATTCAAGCTTGATACAGCTATGACTTTGGATTGTCATTAAATATTTGACACAGCATAGGTTTCTGACACAGGATGAATGTGGTGTAAGAACTGGAAAAAATTTAATTTACCTATTATGGTGGAATCTCCATAAACTAAATTGTTTGTTAATTTCAATATATCAAAGAATATGTAGAATTCAATGTTTGATGTAATGTAATAAAGTTGAAATTTGGACCGTTTTTGTTCAATGTGGACCAATTTGGTAACATGTATAAATAATCAAAAATCTAAATACATGGGAGCCCATTTAAATACATCATAAAGGTATTAAAATAGAAAGTGACATCATAGTCATGGCTAAAAATAAACAAAAATCCTTAATCAGCAACATTTAAAGTAATATCTAAAAATAAAATTTCTTTGTAACCATAAAAGCCCATTTAAATACATCATAAAGATATTAAAATAGAAAATGACATCATAGTCATGGCTAAACATAGCAAAAAACCCTTAATCAGCATCATTTAACAGTAATATCTAAAAATGGAAATTACATCATAAAGGTATTAAAATAGAAAATGACATCATAGTCATGGCTAAAAATAAACAAAATCCTTAATCAGCATCAGCAACATTTTATAGTAATATCTAAAAATAAAATTCCTTTGTAACCATAAAAGCCCATTTAAATACATCATAACAGATATTAAAATAGAAAATGACATCATAGTCATGGCTAAACATAGCAAAAACCTTAATCAGCATCATTTAACAGTAATATCTAAAAATAAAAATTTCTTTGCAACCATAACAGTAAAATAGAAAATGACATCATAATCATAGCTAAAAATAAAAAAAAAAATTTTTTATTGGCAAATTTTAAATGGAGTTTATGATACTAAAACAATAAATTTGCAACCATAAACATGATAAAACCCCATTTAAACACATCATAAAAGTATTAAATAATTCAACTACATCATAAGGCTATAAAAATAGAAAATGACTTCATAGTCAAGGCTAAAGGTAAACAAAAAACCTTCATCAGCAAAATTTTATATTGGCAAATTTCCAATGAAGTTTATTACACTAAAATTGTTGGCAAATTTCCAATGCATTTATTAACAATAAAGTTATTGGCAAATTTCCAATTTACATAATTTAAAAGCAGTGTAGATGAGATATTTAAATGAGTTTGAATTACCAACCTTACACTGCTTTTAAATAATGTTCTTTACTCAATTATTTGTCTATTAAAATGGAAACCCTTGTTTTTTAACCTTTTTTCCCCTTATTCCTTAAACATTAGAGCACACTAAAAAAATCCTTATTTTCGACCAATATTTGGCCCCTTATTCATAAATGTTTGAGCAATTAACCCCAAAACTAAATTCCTACTTTCTCTTCGTGATAAAAAATAACTAACTTAAAATGTAAATTTTAAACAAAAAAAAAAGGAAAAAAAAAAATTACCCCTTTTTTGACCCCCGCCCCCCTTATGATTCATCACCCCCACCCCCCTTTCCCCCCAAACCAAGCTCAATAACAGCCTTGCCTTTGTGGTATGGTACCTTGTAATACAATTTTAGAGAGATCCATACACTTGAACACAAGTTATTGTCTAGAAACTAAAAAATGCTTATTTTAAACCCCTTTTTAGGCCCCTTATTACTAAACGTTTTGGGCAATTACCACAACACTCAATTCCAGCTTTCCCTTTGTGAAATGGAACCTTGTAGTAAAATTTCAGAAAGATCCATACACTTACACACAAGTTATTGTCATGAAACTAGAAAAATGCTTGTTTTTTGCCCCCTTTTGGCCCCTTATTCCTAAAATTTTGAGGCAATTAACCCCAAAATCAATCCCAGCATTGACCCTTTGTGATATGGAATCTTGTGGTACAATGTCAAAGAGATCCATATGCTAACACACAAGTTATGTCTGGAAGTTACAAAAATGCTTATTTTCGGCCCCTTTTTGGCCCCTAATTCCTTAACTGTTGGTACCATAACCCCCAAAAACAATCCCCACCTTCCTATTGTGGTATTGAACCTTATGGTAAAATTTCATAGAGATCCATTCACTTAAACTAAAGTTAGAGTGCGAAAACCATTGTGTATTCGGACGACGACGCCGGACGACGACGACGACGACGCCAACATCATACCAATATACGACCTCAAAATTTTTTTGCGGTCGTATAAAAAGCTTGGAAAGGTGACATGCTTTGTCTTTATAGTATTACCTCTATGGTGAATTTCTTCCTTCTGAGTTTAAAACCTAAATCTAATGTGTCTGGCATATGGCATAATAATGAGTTGAGTCGTGGTAACTGATGAATTTTCAACAATCCTGAAACAAACAAAAGAAAGAGGATCCAAGATTTCTTCAATGTGATATAAAAAATGTGTTAAGTCTTTATTAAAAGATAAAAGGTCAGAAGGCACTTCTATTAAAATTTGATTGCTAGTTATCAGTTGAGAAAGAACAATTATAGGAAATAATCAATAAAACTTTTATTAATGGTAGGGTAAAATAAAAAAAATAAAAAATTCTTTTCTTTCTTATGTTTTTATTTTTGCGAAAACCTATCCCGTCAGGATTTTCATAATAATAAATACATCGCAAACATTTCTGATTTACAGTATACAACAATTAACAGATGCTAATTTTAAGAAATTAATTTCCTTTTTCAACTTTGCAATAAGAAATCCTTGTGCAACTTACCATGATATTCTTTACAAGCAGGATTTTTTTCTGAACCAGCAAAACTTTCCAGTTGTATTACTGTATCACATAATTTTCTTAGTCTACCAACAAATGCAGGCTGTAAAAACAACGAAATATGTCATTTATTTACTATCTTTTTTTATTACAAAGACAGCACTAAAGCTTTCACTAAGTTGCGGTATCTTTTATTGTGTCCACTAGTTTCGTCAAGACAATTACATAAGGTTATAGATTACTGAAGTAAAACAATTGTGGTTTACTTTGGGGTTGACCAGAAACGGTGGATGATGGTATAAAAACATGAACATCCTGTTATTGCAATACATATGAATGGTAAAGAAATAAATAAAATGTTATACAATAGAGATAAAATTGAAATTATAAATGAATCTAAAAATAAAATGTAGATAAATTGTGCAGTTATTGTCTCTATTTAGCAGTATTCATGCAGTTGTATTTGCTGTATTTATCGGTATTTCGGTGTTTCCCTGGTAAATATTCGTACATTTGAAGTCCTCTATAATAAGAATATTTTGAAAATTTCTCAGCCTTTTCCCATTCTTTGGCTGCATATATGATTTCTTGGTTTGGCTTATCTTCTTCACTGTCACTAAGTTTGAGGTCCTCTTCTAATATTTTTGAAGTTGTTGGGGTGATTTCTTTTGCGGATATTACTCTTAAGTTAGTTTTTTTGTGCCAGTCTATTTTCATTGAGGCTTCAATTGGAAGTTTTTGGTGGTTCTGCCTAATCTCTGGGTGTCTTTCTTTCTATAAGATCCTTGGTGTATATCAGGTTGTGGGTTTTCAGGTGCCGGCATGTAATTTCATGACGACTGAAATCATTTTTGCACCATTGACATACGTATGTTGTTATGAGCAATGAGTGGTTTCTCTTCATATGTCTTTGCAGGGCAGTTGTGGATCCATATTCTTTATTGCAAATATGACATTGAGGATAGTCAGTACACAACTGCCCTGCGAAGACAACAAAAGAGATCATTTCAATTTAAGCTTGTGAACTCTCCATTTCTCTGTAGCAACACTATCTCCTGAATAGAGGGTTGCTGCTTACAAGGAAGTTATTGAGCCAAAGGTTCCTTAAAGGAAAGTTGAAGTCATTCCTTCAAGAGTTTATAGGACACCATCAAGAATTGTTGACCTTAATGCTGTCACAAAAAATCCAATTTTTTTTCTAGCTCTATATATGACATATCCCCATAATTATGCTTGCCAATGACACCTGTTTTGTTGCTCATGGATCCACAATTGTTTACCTATTTGAAACACTCAAGTTTATTCCCATGCAGTTTTTGGTGGGGCTCACATTGCTCAATCTTTAATTTTCGGTGTAGCATTTTGTACAATTGTTTTTCTTTTAGTCATTTTTCTATTTGGCCATGATATTGTCTGTTTTTCTTTTGATTTATAGATTTTGATTGCTTCTAAGTATCTTCTCCCTCTTCTTATAGTATTGAATAAAAAATGAACATAAGCCCACAACATATAATATAGTTTTGTTATTCCATATTGTAAAACCAAACAAAGGAAATGACAGATGGTTGTATTTATACAACTAACTTAAACAAAACAAAAACAATTGGCATGAAAAAAAAAACATAAATATAACTGTCTTGATATAGGACTACCGTAATACTGTGGATTCATAATTATTCGTTGGATACCAATTTTCGTGGATTTCGTGTGTACAGGCAAACCACGAAATCAAATGTTCAACGAACTACAAATTTTTTATAGGCATGTATGCAGACATCGGCAAAACCACGAAATTAAATATCCACGAACATATAAGTTTTCCTCAATCCACGAAAATTGATACCCACGAAAATAAATGAATCCACAGTACTTGTATCTCAGGAAAATTTCTATCAAATAGAACAACCTACCTACATGCACATCTGCATATATAAGTATTTTATACTGTATTTGTTTCATACACATGTTATAAGCTTCATAACAGGTGTTATGATGACCAATGTTTACAGTCATGGGTCTAACTTCAAAGGGAAGTACTAAAGAAAACTTTCTGGACTTAAAATACTATATAAGGATTAAACAATTACAATGTACATGTATCAAGTTTTTTTGTGTAAAAAGCAATAATATATAGATATAAGAAGATGTGGTATGAGTGCCAATGAGACAACTCTCCATCCAAGTCAAAATTTATAAAAGTAAACCATTATAGGTCAAAGTACGGTCTTCAACACGGAGCCTTGGCTCACACCGAACAGCAAGCTATAAAGGGCCCCAAAAATTTACTAGTGTAAAACCATTCAAATGGGAAAACCAACGGCCTAATCTATATAAAAAACGAGAAAAGAGAAACACTTATGAACCACATCAACAAATGACAACTACTGAACATCAGATTCCTGTCTTAGGACAGGTGCAAACAATTGCAGCGGGTTTAAACGTTTTAATGGTACCAAACCTTCACCCTTATCTGAAACAATAGTGTAACATCACAACATAGAAAGACACACTATAAAATACCAATTGAAATGGCTTAACTCAATCAAAAGACATATTAACACCAGTGAACATACACTGAACAAATAAATTTGATCTATGATACAATGTAAATACAAAATAAATAAATAACATGAGTTGCAACAAGTATTTAAAGTACTTAACTATAAAGCAACTTATAAGTTATGAATGTCCCTTTTGTATCATGTGTATCTTTTGCCTCTTTAATCCTAATTTTTTCTTCTTAAGACTTGTTATTAAAAGCATGACATTTCTTGTACAAAACTCTTATTCAAAGCCATACATTTATTGGACAAGAAATTATATCTTACATGAAATAAATGTGATGGAACTGTTATCATCATCACAGCAAAGGCAGATCTAAGTAAAGCTCGACATCCATAAAGAAATCTAGGAAGTGAGGAGTCAAAGTTTTCCCCCTTCATTCCTCCATTCTCTCTCCATTGTGGTGAACCAAGGGAATGAATACCTGGAACAGAAATAATCACTGCTATCCTTCTAATCAACTTTTTTTTATCATATTACTTTTATAAATCAAGGATTATTTTGATAATAGAAATAAACAGTGTAAATAGCTGACCAAATGTCCTATAGAAGAACATGGGAATTTTTAGTTGAATTCTGTTTAACCTTTTTCAGGAGTTAAGGTTCAACAGCGTGTGACACAGAAGAGGATGTAAGATAACAGAAGTGATCCTTTTCAGCTTCTGTTGCTAAATTATAACTGGATTATGGTTAATACTTAAGTTGATATAAAACAACCACTCTGTCCGTCAGTTTATTTGTCTTTATTTAACTTAAATTTCAGTGTCAGAAAAAATTAACCTGAATAACAGATAATGTAAACTGAAAGCTTTAAATTTACCTATTCTGAGAATATTTCTTTTATCATGTTGTGTAGTTGTGGAAAATTTGCCATTGTCTATTTTTTGTTTTATTTTCTCCAGCAGCAGAGCATAGTTTTCATTCATAAATGTTGATGGTGAAGAACTGAAATAAAATATCTTTCTTCTTAAAAAAGTCAATAGAGATTTCACAGTTTGTAATACATGTATAATTCACTTTTAAAAAATTAAAGGACAGTACCGTATACAGATAGATACAGATACTTTATTGCTAATCAAAGCACCAACAAGGAGCAGAATAATTACAATGAATCATACATAAACAAATATAATATAATATATGAAATAAAGAGATTACAATGATTTGTTCTAACTTTTCTTGATTTTAATAACAATAATCACAATTTTTTTTATATCCCCCCTCCCAAAAAGAAATAAAGATTTCGTCTATGTTATATCAATTACCCCCTAAAAAAAAGTTATTAAAATTACTTGTTTAAACGAGGAATTATTTGAAACTAGAAAAATTTCATAGCTAAAACATTTATAGATTATCTGTGGTTTTGAAAACAAGAGGGATTTTCTTTGCTGCAATCTCATTGATAGGCGATAGCCTTGAGATGAGATGAATCAGAGAAATTCCTAAGAGTTGAAAGACCATAATCCTCTGAGATGGAAAACTATCACACAAAAAGAACAAATCTATCGTTATGAAAACAGCGATGATAGTTAATATAATCAAGAAGCATGCATTGTTGTGTTAGCATATCCCCGTCTTAATTCAAAGCATCAGAAAGAAACAAGAAGGTGTCCGACAGATCCGAAAAGCACATAAAGATTCCAAGTCATCAGTATTGATCTGCTAACTAAATATGAAGTCATTCTGTTCAATAGTTTCTGAGGTAGACATGACAGAAAATTTTAAATTCATTCAACATATGGAAAAATTCAAAGTATTGGCTAACAGGAAGTAGGAATCTGACAGATCCGAAAAGTGCTCACACTTTTTAACTCATCACTGTTGAGCTGCTGACTAAATATGAAGTCAGTCTGTTTAATAGTTTATGGAACACTTAAAAGTATTGGCAAACATGAAGAAGGTATCTGAAAGATCCGAAAAGTGCTCAAACATTACAGTTAATCTTTGTTGAGCTGCTGACCAAATATGAAGTAATTCTGTTCAGTAGTTTTAGAAAAGAATGATGAAAACATATAATATACACATGGATGGATGAACGGACAAATGAACGGCCAGACAGACAAGGTGATAACAATATAATCCTCACTTTTTTTAAGCCAAGCAGGCATGACTAAGGGGTTAGTTTTATATTTACTTCCATGTTTAACAAACGAAAACTATAAGCCATGGCTGACCCTACTTATATATTAACAGTATTTTATAGACTAGAAACTAATTTTCTATTTTTCAAAACTTTTCAAGTTTTTTTTAATTCCCTAGTTTTTTTTTATATGTTTCCATTTTTTTAACATCTAAAATATGGCTGAGAAATACACTGCACTTTAAAATGTAATTGATGGTAGTTTATGCTTCAGTTTTGGCTTCTTTAAAATATACTTTTTGTCAGTAAATTTTCAGGTCATAAAATGATGTTATTGTACTAGGAATGTGTCCATGGGACACAGATGATGCCACCGCTTGCATATAACGTTATAAAGGGACATAACTCAAGAACAGTTAAAAAGTGACGCCACCAAAATTCAAACTTGATCTGAGTTTTGTGGTAGTAAGCATTGAGTTTCATAACATTTGGTTGAGGCAAACTAAAGTTGAAAAACGGAAACCAATTTCGGGACGTACAGATGTACGGACGGACGGTTGAAAGTACAGACGGACAAGGGTAAAACTTAATGCCCCCTCCACTACGGCAGGGGCATAAAAAGACAAACTTTACTTTATACTGATTATGCTTTTCTATTTAGGTGCTCTCAAATTATTTTGTTTGCTTTCCAAACATGTGTTTGTTTATGTTTAACACCACTTTCATTGACCTTGGTTATAACGTGGTGGTCATTTTTTGTTTGTGGAGGAAACCAGAATGCTCAGAGAACCACTAACATTACACTGGCATAAAGCTGGCAATCCTTGTCTATTAAGATCAGACTCAAACACACCTCGCAATGAGCAGGATTTGAACTAACAGATTCAGTCTGAACAAGTGACTCAAGTGTACCTGATGAATACAATTCCAGTCATATTGAGTCAAATGAGAAAATTTCTCAATATTGGTGACTTCCTGCAGACCTTTTGGGCTAGCACTGTTAAATCTGGCGCAGTATGTAAGACAAATGCAAAATAGGATAAAATTCATATCCCTTCCAAGATCTCATATTGAATTGCATGTTTCATTTGTCATCGCCAAGCTGTAGTTAATTGATCACAACTTCAGAATTTATGTCAGGATGGTTTTATAAGTATGATGAAATTCATTATTGAAGCTTTTTATCTTACCATGTACACAAATCTGTTTGAGAGATTGTAGAATGATCTATGCTGTTTGTCAACTCAGGGTCCATGGTCTTTGTTAAATCATAATAATGTCCAAACTTTATAGATGTTGGGTTCGACTGAAATAAACAAAAGCATTGTATGTATGTAATGTATACGTATTTGTGCAGACTTTATTCTATACATCTTCACCCTTTAAACATCTACCAGTACTCTTGAAATAAAACTTAAATATTACATTTTGAAATCAGTTTTTGACATGCATCATATTGAAATTTAAAAGTTCTGCCATAAGACAATGAAAAAGACAAGATATCCGGATGCCATGCAATATTTACAACATGAATTCTAAGGACATTTTTGAGAGGGATAACATACTTTCGGAAACTAATTTTGGGACGTAAGTATGGACATATGGACGCACGCAGCAGGGACATAAAAAGCTGAATTTGGGAAATTAGCATACCTGTGTCACCCCTCTCATTGTTTGACAGATTGTATTTTTCAAAACTGGCTAAAATATCATAAAAGGAGTGAAACAGATAAGAAATGCACCATTGCTTCCTATATGATATTGATTGTCTGTATATAGATATGAAGTTAATTTTGGAATTGGTCCTTTTTGCAACTTGCATACATAAATCCTAGACTAATTATGGGCACATGTTAATTTTGATTGTTAGCCTCTGGTTTAAAAATAAATGAAGAATTTGTCTATGGGACATATATATATACCAGAATTTCAGAATTTATTCAATTTAAAAGGGACATATCTTGAGAACGGTGAAAGTGACACCACTTAAATTCGAACTTGATCTGTGTTTGGTAGTAATAAACATTGTGTATAAGTTTCCTAACATTTGGTTGAGGTAAACTAAAGAGTGCAGAAACGGCAATTTTTTTTCTTTATAAAGGGATGTAACTAGAGAAACTTTAAAAGTAACATCACCCAAATTCAAACTTGATCTGTGTTGGGTGGTAATAAGCATTGTGTATAAGTTTCATAACATTTGGTTGAGGAAAACTAAAGTTAGAGTGCTGAAATGGCAAATTTAGCATTTTTTTTTCCTTTATAAAGGGAAGTAACTAGAGAACAGTAAAAGTTAGAGAATGGAAACTAATTTTGGAACGTGCAGATGGACAGACGGACAAGGGTAAAACATAATGCCTCCTCTGCACAACACTACAAATATTGTTGTTTTAAAAAAATTAATTGAATTTGAATTCAAAAGTCCAAGGTCTGCTATGTTAAATTTACCTGGTATTTTGGAAGATGTTGATATCTCCATGCTATTTTCATTTGTTCATCTGATTGGTTGGATGTGTCCTCTGGTGGTGGTCCTGGATCATCAATGATAGGAGCAGGTAACTCCTTACAAAAAATATCATCAATAAAATTAATTAGTGGACTTTTGGTAATACTTTGTTGTTGCACAATACTATGCTATTGCGCAATACTGTGCAATTAGAGATTTCTTGCTATTGCGCAATACTGTGCAATTGAAGATTTCTTGCTATTGCGCAATACTGTGCAATTGAAGATTTCTTGCTATTGCCCAATACAGTGCAATTGAAGATTTCTTGCTATTGCTCAATACTGTGCTATTGTGCAATACTGTGCTATTGCGCATTACTGTGCAATTGAAGATTTCTTACTATTGCGTAATACTGTGCAATTGAAGATTTTTTGCTATTGCGCCATACTGTGCAATTGAAGATTTCTTGCTATTGCGCAATACTGTGCAATTGAAGATTTCTTGCTCTTGCCCAATACTGTGGTATTGCCCAATACTGTGCTATTGCGCAATACTGTGCAATTGAAGATTTCTTGCTATTGCGCAATACTGTGCAATCATTTGAAATTTCAAAAATTTTGAGAAAAAAAAATATGAACCCCCAAAAAAAATTGGAAAAAATATCCCCTAAACTTTTTGAACCCCCTCCCCCTTGGAGTAATTACCCCCAAATTAATCCCAGTCTTCCCTTTGTGGTATGGAACCTTGTAGTACAGTTTTAGAGAGATCCATACACTTATACACAAGTTACTGTCTGAGAACTAGAAAAATGCTTGTTTTTGACACCTTTTTGCCCCTAATTCCTAAATTGTTGGGGCAATTACCCCCAAACTCAATCCCAGCCTTCCCTTTGTGATATGGAACCTTGTGGTACAATTTCTGAGAGATCTATACACTAACACACAAGTTGTCCGGAAACTACAAAAATGCTTGTTTTTGGCCCCTAATTCCTAAACTGTTGGTACCATATCCCCCAAAATCAATCCCAACCTTCCTTTTGTGGTATTGAACCTTCTGGTAAAATTTTTAGAGATCCATTCACTTTAACTAAAGTTATTGTCCGGAAACCAAATGTGTCTTAGCACAACGCTGAAAAATTTTATGCGGTCGTAGAATATTGATCCGCACTGATTTTGGAACTCGTCCAAGACATTGCTGATATAAACATACGATATAAGTTTCATAAAAATCTGGTAAGAACTGTAAACATTGTTTCCTAAAACATGTTGCATCAAGATTTTTTATGAAGATATAGTTGCATATGTTTCTGGAATAACATTCATCAGGTACACTTCAGACCAAAAGTTTAGGAAGGCAAAACTATGAAGTATTTATGAGCATGAATCCATTGTTAATGTTGTGGCTATTTATAGCCAACTTAGGCCTTACAGCGGCTATACTTGCTTATATTCACTTCAGTTGAACTCTGGTGGATAGTTTTCTCATTGACAATCATACCACATCTCCTCATTGTTATATTAAACAGAACAGTCTAATCCATATACAGGTAATCTTAGTTTTAGAAAAATAATACAATTTATAAACTGAAATATATAGTCTGTTAAATACTTACCTTAAGAATTTGCTGAGGGTCTCTATCTGCACTTGTTAAATGCAAACTATGTCCTGTCATCACAGCTTCAGAACAGAAATACTTTAACATTAACCTGCCATAGTTACCATACACATCTTCCTCTGGTAATAGAAAATGTAAAGAGCATAATGATATTTGAATATTTCAGATGATGGTACAGCACATCTTAAGTTTAGACACAGTACAGAACTTTGCTAATATAAAGAAGGTGTTACACTTTTTTTGGGGCAAACTGACAGAACAACAGAGTATGATCCTGTCCCAAGTCAGGAACCTGTAATTCAGTGGTTGTCGTTTGTTGCTGTATATCATATCTGTTTTTCTTTTAATGTTTTGTACATAAATCAGGCTGTTGGTTTTCTCCTTTGAATTGTTTAAAATTTTTCATTTAGGGGCTTTTTATAGCTTACTATGCAGTCTGGGTTTTGCTGATTGTTGAAAGATGATGTGACCTATAGTTGCTAACTTCTACATCATTTGGTCGTAGGTGGAGAGTTGTCTCATGGCAATCATACCACATCTTATTATTTTTTAGAGAGATGCATCCATATCTGATTGAACATTCCAAGGGTTCATTCCATACACAACTCAATGTAGCTTATTATCAGAAAATCTTATACTGGATGTAACAGTATAGATAAATCTGACTACTAATTACTAATAAAATTTAATAGATGAATGCTACTGAAAATACTTATATGCTATGCTCTACATGTACAGTTTACTAGAAACCTTACATAAATGGATTTCCAAGTATCTATCCAATACATAACAACCTGTTTTAGCCATAAAGTGGGAGCTCTCCCTCTTTCAAGCTCCACTGAGGGTGAGTTTATTTGTGACAACCTTTTTTTCATTCAAAATCTTGTAATATTTCAGCCATATGGATAAACTTTAATATAACTAGTTAAAACAGCATTCTAGATAACCCATAGATACTTGGGGACAGGACAACTTTTTTTTTTGGCCCTCCCCCTTTTTTCCAAAATCCGTTATTTTTTCGTTTTCTACTAATTTCAATTTTTTCGCATTTTTTTGTATTATAAGAACATAAATATACAACAAATAACTTGTATTTGCTATTTACTATCAATTCCAAGTTTACTATCCACAGCGGTCGCTGATATAATAATATCAGTGACTGCTGACGATAGTAAACTTGGAATTGATAGTAAATAGCAAATACAAGATATTTGTAGTATATTTATGTTCTTTCAGCACTATTGGCTTTTTCGTGGAGGTAAGTTTTTATTGATGGAGGATTGATTGATTGAATGGTGTTTAAAGCCACTTTCAGCGTTAATGTGCTATTTTGTGGTGGTCAGTTTGTATTGGTGGAGGAAGCTGGAGTGCTGGAGAAAACCACTGACTTACAGCAGGAAAACAGACAATCAATGTCAATTAAGATTGGAGTGCACCTGCCTTGTGCAGGGTTCAAACTCACAGCTTTGTGTTGAGAGGCTAGTGATACAGTTATTGAACTACTTAGACCACTAGGCTAACATGGCCCTTCTCTGACTGAAGATACCTAATTGAGGGAGGTATGAACTGAATAATGTTGAAAAGAAATTCACTTAAAAGAAAAAATACTGTACCCAGTAAAAAGACTGTTCCCACTGCAACTCCTCCACCTGAAAACAAAAATGCATTTGATATGCAATTATAATGATTATGAACATTATACATTTGATTATCAATGCATTCATATCTAAAACTATAAATTAAATCACCAATTGAATTGAATTCATAATTAGGATTCACTTTTAAATTTATTATGAACCCATAAAAATACTTGTTGAGTTCCAATATTTAAATGGTCTTTTAGCAAATGTGGACAGACATGATAGAGAACTGAAATGTAATCAGTCTAAAATCAGCTGTTAGGTCTGTATCTCTCTCCCAATTTAGAGAGAAGCAAATAGTAACAGCTATTTCAATCAGATTTAACAAAAGTTGTTATTTCAATGTTAATTCTATATTTAAAATGTATATATAAATATATATACCGGTACATGATATATGCCTTTATAAATAAAATTAAAAGTTGTAAAAATGCTGATATTTAATATTCTAAATTACATATTTGAATTTCACAAAATGTAAAGATAACGTCCATTATCCTACTGGTTTCACCTTTGATCATCAGAGGTTATATCGGGATTTTTATAAATTTAGATTTTTTTTTTATTTACTTTTTGTGTAAGTTTATGAACATTTAAAACATGTATAATTATATACACGTAGTGACGTACACTCAAAATACAGATAAATAGCAAATAATGTCTGTTATAACAAGTTTCATGGTCAAACTTTTAATTAAATTTATCCTGTTTATAGATGAAATTTGTATACTGGAAAATTATTTTGAGTTAAAACTGATTCTTGTTAACCATGGACAGATTAGATTGATTATGAGTGCTAAAAAATCACTAGTTTGTTTTGTTTAAACTAGAACTATGAGTGATCTCACAAATGGATAACCCTTGCCCCAGCAAATTTTATTGTTTCCCCTTAAAATTGTTGGACCAGGATTAATATTCCTATACACACTACACATCCTTGTGTAGTATTATACAACTGTCTATAGTTTGAGTTTCATCAATATCAGGCTAACTGTTTAGGAAGAGTTGCACTTACAAGAAACTTTTATCACATATTTCAACACTTGAGTAAGAAAGTTAAATAATCTCCCTTTTTACATGTAGGACTGGAAATCTTTTCCTGTATACACATCCTTGGTTAGTGTTCTACAACTGTCTTAAATTTCATCAATATCTGTTCAGCTGTTTATGAGGAGTTGTGCTTACAAGACACAATGACAGACAGTCAGAAGGACAGACATATTCCTATATCCAACCACAACCCCCAAAAAAGAGAACAAATCACCCTTTCTTGTAATCTTGTCCATCTTTTGATTTAAATTACTCATATGAATGTTTTTTTTTTTGGGGGGGGGGAGGGGGGGGTCACTCTATCTGTTCATCCATCTGTCTGTCAGTCTCTATGTCCATTTGTCTGTCAGTCTTTCTGTTCATGTGCCTTGTAATAGCCAAAATCCTCCTAAAGGGCATGATGGATATCGATGAAATCGACAGAATAATATCAAACATTATTATTTTGTACTAAATTGTAGCTAGGATGAACGTTTTTTTATTTGATTGCTTTACAATTAATATTTAAGTAAATGAAAATTAATGAGTAAATGTAATTTAATAATAAATAAATTGCTTCGCTAAACGCAGCTGGATACAACCGCAGATGTCCAACCATGAAAAGTTGGGGCCAAAATGGACACAATATTCACGCTTGATCATTGTTGATACAAGTCTGAATTTGGATTGTAATTAAATTTTTGACACACATTAGGTTTCTGACACAGAATAACTGTAGTCAAAGAACTTCAAATTGGTTATATGATTTGAATTTATATTTAATCTTTTGCTTTTGTGCAATACACTATGCGAATTGCCCCCCCCCCCCCAAAAAAAAAAAAAAAATTTCACCCCGTTTTTTTGCATATGTGCAATACACTATGCTGTTGAATATTAACCCCTCAAAAAAAAATATTTGAAGAAATTTTCTTTTAATTTTGAATTCTAAAATGAGAAAAATTGTCCCCCTCCAATTTTTTTCACCTCCCCCCTTTCCCTTATTCCAAAAAATAATTCTTTCCCTCAAGTTATGGTCAGTATCTCAGACAATCATCATTTCTAAATACATAATTTACAAGCAGTGTAAGGGAGGTATTAAACATTGTTATTTAAATTGATTTTGATTTTGATTTGGATTACCTCCCTTACGCTGCTTTTAAATTGTCTCAATTGTCCTTTAACCAGAAAAACCCTTGTTTTTCCCCCTAATTCCTAATTGGTTTGAGCCATAACCCCCCAAAATCAATCCTAGCCATCCCTTTGTAGTATGGTAACTTGTGGTATATTTCAGAGAGATTCATACACTTTAACACAAGTTATTGTCTGGAAACTACAAAAATGCTTATTTGGGCCCCTTTTTTGGCCCCTAATTCCTAAACAGTTGGGACCATAACCCCTAAAATCAATCCCAACCTTCCTTTAGTGGTTATAAACCTTGTGTTAAAATTTTATTGATTTCTATTTATTTATACTAAAGTTATTATCCGTCTTCGGACGACGCTGTAGATGACGACGACAACGTGATACCAATATACAACCAAAAAATCTTTAATTTTTGCGGTTGTATAAAAAAAAATTTTAATTTTTGCGGTGGTATAAAAATGAATATGTAATGACCCAATGTTTATTACTCTGGCCTCATTGCATACCTGCCAACTTTTCAAAATCTCCATGAGGGATTTTAATGGCAAGAGGACATAATGCTCCTCTTATATTCTCATTAGTGTTCTTAATCTACTACTTTATTGATAGAGTGAGTATATATGTGCTTAAATACCCTTTTAACTCATTTGAATGCCTGTTTTAAGGTGTTCAGTTTATATAATAAAGAATTTCAAAATTCAGGTCAACACCTCTCATGGGGGATATCCTCCAGAAATCCGGATAGTTGGCAGGTCTGCATTGTTTATTAGGCCAAAAAAAAATATGTCTGTTTAAGGTTACATATTTTAAAAAAATAGGGTAGGTAGGTCGGTATTTCCATTTTATTTTTTATTTTTTCATTTTATTTTTTGTGACATGATTTTGAGTCATGCCATTTCATCTTGTTGTGGTCCGGCTTGATCATGGGTTGAGTTTACTCGTATTTTTAATGATTGGATTATTTCCTTTGGTAATTGGTTGGAAAAAAAATGGCAGCAAAGTGTTTATTTCATCACACGAGTTGGGAATTTCCTTAAAACAGCTGTCATATTCACGATTGTGAACAATGGAATGTATCAGGCAATTGATTTATATTATTTGCAACACTAACTTCACTTTTGACACGAGTTCAGTTTATTTTTCACTTTACGACGGAAATAAAATGACTTAGGGTCGGCGCTCTAAAGTAGGGTCTGTCCGGTAACCGTAAAAAGACATATATTTTTTTTGGCCTTAATAATGATTCTTGTTTCAAAATTCTTATAGGGAATACATATTACATTATTGTATTAATTATACCATTTGTTTAGACGTCTTAAAAACTGGTTTAATTACTACAATAATATTAATAATGAAATCTGCTGTCAGAGATTATTTTTCTATTCTTATTAGAAAAAGTAATTAAACCAGTTTTTAAGACGTCTAAAAAAATGGTATAATTACTATAATAATATTAATAATGAAATCTGCTGTCAGAGATTATTTTTCTATTCTTATTCACATAGATCCCCCTCCCCGATAGTCTTCAAAGCAAAAATTCAAGTAGCTTTCCAAGTCCTCGAAATGTGGAGGTCCAAATGTTTTTTTTATAGGTACCATCATTTTGCAAAGGACCACAGTTTTGGTATATAATATTGCAATAGAAATAATAGTGAGGAACAGCAAATTTTCTTCAGGGACCACAAAGAACTCTGAGCTTCTGACGTAATTTATTAATACATGTACGCTTGTGAGTTGTCTTATTTTGTGTGTGCATACGGTACTCATGAGGGTAGGAATTGGGGTACCCCACATGATGAATGACGGTAAAATATTTGTTAAAATAAAGTTAACGATAAAAAATTTACTCCATTTGACGCTAACGGTAGCTACAAAATGAGATTTGGACAAATGACAATAAAAAATTAAGGCTCATTTGACACTAACGGAAGAGAAAAAAAACAGACTTTTAACGCTCGACCATAAAGGGCATTCCTACCCTCATTCATGCCAATCATGGTACAGACTCTCAGAAACATATTTTAAATATTTTCCATAAATTTTTATAACTTATTATGCTATCTCATTATAATCTATTACTTATCTAACCTATTATATTATCTAAAGAAGGAATGCCTGTTGAAATCAGCAACTGGTTGTTGTACAAGGATGGTTTTGCTCCTGGTATTTGAAGTATTTTTGCTTTGGTTTTCTTTTGAAAACTTGTTGATGTCATGATTTTGACGAAAACATAAGGGAAACCCAAAAATAGTTAATGTCACAGACTGTCTTACAAGCTTTCCCTGTTTTACTTATAAAGGTTATCTTCAACTGTAACCATGTGTCAATTTTTATGAATTGCTCAATTCAAATTATGTCCCCTTGATTGCTTCTCGGGGGTTTACCATCAAAGGTACAGAAAACACTCGAGGACGACATAGGAACTCTTTAGTGGAAAGGTAAAAATGTTCATTTGTCAACAAGGTGCCCGTTTTCAAAGTTTCTTTTAGTTTTTCAAAATGTTTTAGAAATTAATTTGGATAAATTAATGAAATGTCTTCATTTTCCAACCTTTTGTTGTAAACAGAATTTTTAAAGAAGAATAACGCACTTTAACGTAAAAAATATGATCAAAGCAGACGATTGCGCGCGACTGTCAACAGACGACACTTTTGGCAACTCAACAATGAATTTTGATACCATCAGAAGTTAGTAGTGTAAGACTGTTGACAGCATTTTTCTTGTGATTTCTTTAATTTATTCATTTATTTATTGCTGGTTGATGAGAACATTATCTTATATTCATCAATATTCTTTATTTAGTTGGAAAAAATTGTATAAGTCTACGATGTAGTTTTTTGTCCCCAACAAAACTTAAAAACTTGTAACATTAATATGAGACAGGTGCTAACTGATTGACTCCTGAAGGATAAACAAGTGGATTTTGCATGTTTGTTTTACCATCAACATTCATTATCCTTTAATAATCAGATCTACAAATTTGTTGGAATTAAAGCCTATATTATATGCGCCTTAGCCTCTGACACAAAGTTGCAGGAAATTGTATGCTCCTTTGTTGCTTTTTATGAAAAATCAAGAAAAAAACCAAAAACATATACCAGTTGATTTTAATTGCTGCCATGCTTTTAAAGTTTTCTGGGCCATATATATACAATGTAAACAGGTTTTTATATGTAAACGAATATTCCTTTCATATTTTGTCTCATGGAATTGTACCCTGGTAGCTGGGAATTTCATAATCAAGCGCCATTATGCTGTGATTTTATCAAGAATAGTCGACTCTCGTTATCTCAAAGTCTATCGGACCAGAGAAATATTTCGAGATACCCATAGTTTGACTCAAACGAATACAGGAATTTTGAAAGACCATGCAAGCGATACATCTCGCTTAGCTTAGTAGGGCTAAAATAAATCCTGATGAATTTTGGAAGGGGATTGATATTCTGGTCTTAGATTAATATATCTGTATGTTATCACTGTGTATATTGGGAACGCTTTCCGATTCAATCAGTGGTAACGCTTGCTTTCCGTTACACGTAACGCTTGCTTTTTGATTTTTGTTGACAAAGAAGCCGGAGACACGGAATGAGGATGGAGGATACTTAAATCGGATGGTACATGATGTTCTCTCTTGTATCTCACGGAACACTCGAGATATTTTTCTTGATAAAGATGTAATGCATGTCATCATAAAAATTTGTAATCAGGTCGTAAACGGTCCCACAAATGCAACACTGTAAACAATTGAACACAAGAATGCATTTCTTTTGTATGAAACTGTTTAAAATATTTAAAATTAACTCGGGTTTCAAATCCTCTATTGACTTTCCTTTCATTAATACTCTTCCGTTTCTCGAAATTTATTTAATCTAACCAGAAATGCTCTTTGAAAAAAATCATAGGAAACGCAGTCTTTCAGATTGTTTAAATTCAGCGTCATTCTGGGAAACGATTGCCTTTGGATTTTCAGGAAACGACTTCTTTCAGATGTAATGATATGCAAATCATTGGATCACATGCAGACTATAAACTTTGTTTTTTTCTTTTTGATATTTATTTATTAACACCCTATGACACATTGGAGGTAACAAGTTGAATTGGCACCTGGATTGGTCAGCAACGGGATATTTCACTCCAATAAACAGGCAGAAACCCAGTTGAAATAGAACAAAAGAATCGAAGCTCTTTGTTAGAGAAGGCGATAAATGCTTACTGTAATGTTTACTATAGTAACACAAATTTTAAAAGTTAATGGAAACAAATAAAAGGACAGTTTTTGGCTAAATTACGAAGTATTTTATCATAAAACACCATTTGCATAAGTTTTCAATTTATTACATAATTAAGCAGAACAAATAGATATCAAGTCGACGACATGGGTGTCTATTCAGTTGGATTTAAAAAATGCATAACCTCCGTTTAAAAAAAAAATAATACCATGGACGAAGGACATATCAATCTATTTGTTCCTTAATTTTCGTTTCTGCCCTTCCATTATGTGACTCGAGAAATAATTCCAAAAAATGGGTAACAATTGCATCGAAAGAGAAAATCGAGTGCACCTTTTTATGTTAGGGCGTGTTTGGGTTGAATATTTTGTCTTGAAAACGTAAGAAGCGAAAGTATTTGATACATCATCTCGCTTCAGATTCTATCATTTTTATATATATAGGCTACAGGTTGACTTTATAACATCTAAAATTCACAGTACTGAAAAATGAAATATATGGGTCAAGTGAAATACCTTTCTAATGAATCACAAAAACAGAGTAGGTGTGTTCGAATAGTAAACTTTTACTAAAAGTACTTGACGACAGACTTTTAAGTTGGATCTTAAAAATGCATATTTTCGAAAAAACTTCATTTTTTGTGTGTGATATCTAGGGTTTATAGTCTTCAACCACTGAAAATTTTTAGTCTGCCCTTCCACGAAAAATATTGAATTAGAATTGTTTTAAATGTTTATGAATTTTCGAAAATTCCACCTGACAACTGATCAGACAATAGTTTTAAGTTGACTGAATGTAGACATGTACATTAACTGATGCTCATTAGCTAGTAGATACATTTGTCTTTTAAAATACAACTGGCATATAAGGATCGTAATGGTGCTATGTGGATAAATTTATCGGTTTTCAAGAGCTAAATTGGCAGCGCGTCATCCCTACAATGGCTTCCATTTTTACGATTGTAAAAATGAACTGCATAATGGGGAGATAATTTTGACGAAGTAGAATCCTGACTGTAAAATATAAAGTAAAGATTAAAATGTTCAATTCGGAACCCATTACATTTAGGTTATTTATTTTTATCATACTTTATGTATAATAATTTCTCTTGGTATAAAAATAAAAACTACAACAAAAACAAAATATATGAAACACAAAAAAAAACAACACAATAAAACGAAATTCCGAAAATAACCACAAACACAAATTATATATATGCATGTTATAAAAACCAAGTCATGTTTTCCGAAAGGGTAAATAATTTCTGCTACTTCCGTTTTCAGGGTTGATTCCAGGTGTTTTCAACTGAGTCCCTTGACCATCAAATTGGGAATCTCATCCCAATTGGGAATTTTTTTATACACAAAATCTTAGACGAAATAACATTATTTTTCTGTAAAAACAGAAAATGTATTAAGTTTTACCTATATAATACACTGCTGTATGAAGTTGTAACATTTGGAATAATCCTGGACGGGTTATTAATTATGATATACATACATGTATGATTGCCAGATCCCTTGACATTTAGTGGGAAGTTGTTACATGAAAATCATTGCACATGAAGCACTATCTTTTGTAGGCTTGCATCTTAGCTATGGTGTTACCTTTTACATTTAGTGGATTGAGACCAGGCACATATATAACAACTAAGCTATACCACTGAAAACAATCATCCATTGGGTATTTTTTTCAACAACAGGTCATCTTTATGAATTTACCTTGATGTAAATGGATTTCAAGTTGAATTCAGAAAAGCAATTACAAAAGTTTTAGTACTTAATTGATAAGATATTTTTTGTGATTTTTGCTTACTGTTTAATATGTAGAAGGTTGCCATAGTTTTACTCTGGGACTATTATACTAATGTCCCAGTTTTACTTAAGGTGTAACTCTAAGAAACGGGAAATTTAAGCATTGAACCATTGCATTACAATATTATTTGGATCATCTTCACAACTTTTGAAACAGTTCCATACTGTATCGACATCCTATTTCATGAATGATCTATCAACATGTATTCTCAAAATCGATGAGACAGTCAGACTTTTGTCTTGAGGAAATAGAGCCAGACAAAATATAAAATTTTTTTTTTTATAAAACAAGTTGGGGGATCTGTTTTTACGAGATCTGCGCCCATTAAATTCATCAATGTTATATCAAAATTTTAATTTTGCTCAGACAAAGTCTACATTTACGAGACCCATTTTGACAAAAAGCATTTTTTTTATCGACCTGTTGGGCCATCTGCTTTTACAATAGTCCAAATAATTATGACGTCTTGAAAGGCTATTTATTTTTTTTGCTGTCGTAGGAAGGCGTCACAGCAAAAAATAAAAATTGGCCTTTCAAAACATCATAATTATTTGGGTTAGTTTTACAAGATCAAATACTCCCATTGTATTTTCGTCAATTGTATAAGAGGGGTCTGATTCCGCTGCTAAAATTGTTTACCACACGTTGACATAATTGAATCATTGTTAATAAAATGCAATCGTTGACAGCATTCTTATCCAGATTTTAAGACGCTTTGATGGCAAAACTATGAAAAAATATAGTTGCCTAAATCGGCGACGGAAACATTTCCCGAAATATTGATTTTTTTTTTCCTGAATTGGGAATTAATGTTTTGCATAAAATTTTTGGGGCCGCCAGCTGATTTAAGGGCCGCAAAGCAGCCCTAAATTATACAGTAGAATCATCCCTGGTGTTTAAATTACAACATTTTGATAATTACTTTTGACAGATAGAAAGAAAAAAAACAGTTAACGGGAAAAGAAAGATCTATGGCTCCATCCACATAAGAGTACATGAAAAAAAATATTAATATAACAACAACCGCAATAGATTTATGGATTATTACATCAAATAAAAGTGTTACCTGACCAAAGCTCTGAAAAAAATCAACCTGTATTGGTTCAATCATGGTATCACAGTCCAATGTGTGAACTTGCGTATTTTATAAAGAGCCGATTACCTAATTATAAACCATGGGATATAATCCAGAAATTTTGACAGATTTTGGCAAATTTGGGTATCTATACCAAAAAACATATACCACATCTCCTTAATTTAATAATAAATGTTTTCCACAATTATACTAAAAGGAAACCTATGTATTGTCTTTTGGACATATTTTGTTAAGTGGCGTTCTTTGATGCAAAATTTCGCCCTGTTTATGTTCAATATATTTGAAATTGAAGGTACAACAGACCACACCGAATGAGTTATGTTATGCCAGACACTGTAGTCAGTCTTTAGCTGCCAAAGATATTCCATAGAAAAGGATATATTTTAAACTCTTATTTTTTTCAGACATGGATATAAAAAAGTTTTTACCCTGTAAAAAACTAAGAAGATCAAACAGGCTTGAAGGAAAAGATAAAATGTCACCAGAAATCAAAAAAGACACCAGGTTATCTTCAGTGACTTCACCTGATGCTAAAGTTTGCACGAAGTCTGCAGCACTTGGATACTTTGATTTACTTCCTTTGGAACTTAAATTTTATATATTGAGATATATGACAGGTATTTATAATTGAATTGATTGTATGAATAATATGAAATATTTTTTGTACTTTGCTTTTTATCTTTCAGAAGGTCAGGAAATAACAAAATTTAAAAAAGAAAAGAAAATATATGTGATAATTATGTAAAATATCAAAATTATTCACCTTTCACATAAAAATTAAACCGATTATCATTTTCTATTAAAGTCAATAATTTAAAAACTTTTATGTGGACACCTAAGCAATTGAATGAAAGTGAAAATTTATTCACCTTATTTTAGGAAATTCTTATACAGATCAAGTTCTACAGTAGTTGTTATTCTATCGCTCCGAACAAGTAAAAGTCATTCTTGTGCAATTAAAAGCTGCAGTGTAATTTTCTGGTGTTCAAGTTAAAAACAAAGTTAAAATATAGGAATATAACAAATCAAAGCCTTAATTATTTCTCTTTTTAACATTATAAACATGATACATTTTGATAGCAATCAGCTATGACAATATCAACTAATTCACTTATTTTTTGGGAGAATGCATTATTTCCCTTATTAAAAAGAGCCAATTAAATAATATTGGTCAATCCAAAAACAATTTAGTTTTTAGCCAATATTGGCCGATATTGATGGACCAATCAAATTAGAGACCTAGCTATTTTATGAATCAAAGAAACGAGAGTCGACTTACATGGATTAGAATTTCCTTCATAAAAAAAACAAGTTCCAAGTAGAAGAATTATTACAGTAGAATAGAGAATGGAAACGGGGAATGTGTCAAAGAGACAACAACCCGACCAAAGAGCAGAAAACAGCCCAAAGCTACCAATGGGTCTTCAAAGCAGCAAGAAAATCGAGCACCCGTAGGCGGGCTTCAGCTCCTCTAAACAATAATGTAGACTAGTTCAGCAAAATGGACGCCACACTAAACTCAGAAACATACAAATGAACCAAAATTTAGAAAACACACAAGAGTAAAAAGGCTTGAGGTTCTTGACTTGGAACAGGCCCCATTTTAAAATGTTTTGTGAGATCTCAACCCTCCCCTTATATCTCTAGCCAATGATTTGTGTCTAATGAAATAAGGGGTATAATATATTTGCTCCAACTGGTATTGATTTTATTGCACTGCTTATAACAAGGTTTCCAGTTACTTCTGTTAACAGGAACAAAAATATGCTGAAAAATGGATACAATAATATAAAATTCAGATCACCAGAATATCATCGAAATTGATATGTTTCAACATATGATTATTTCTTTTCATAAGAAAACTTTGTTATTTACAACTAGAACCATCTGAATATTTTTCACCTATGTGATTTATATTTGTTTATTATTGCAGTTGAGGATATTAGCCTCTTAGCATTAGGCTCAAAAGCCATGAGGAATTTGGTAGAAGGTTTCAGAGTTTTGTCACCTAGTTTGACCAACAAAGTAATACAACAACTGCATGCATCAATTCACCCACTACCAACAGAAAAACTAGGTGATTTTCTAAGGACTTTTAACAGACAAGGTAAATATTAAATGTGCAACAGTAACAAGAAGCATCTCCATTTTTAACCAGATTTCTAAAGGAAAATATCAGTTATTAATTTGGTGATGTACTGCGGGCGGTCAGCCGTTTAGGTGGGTGTCTTTCAAACAGTGTCCGTGCGTTAACTTGAAGACGCTTTGACAAAGTCTTTTCAAATTTAGATATGTTGTTTCCTGAGACTAAATAAAGGTCAAGTTGGATTTTCATGATTTTAGCCTTTATCGTTGTTGAGTTGTAGACCTTTAAGTAGCGAAAAATGGTACTTAGAGCCTTGTCTGTGCAATAACTTAAAAACTCTTTGACGAAATCTTTTCAAATTTAGATATGTTGTTTCCTGTGACTAAATGAAGGTCAAGTTGGATTTTCATGATTTTAGCTTTTGTCTTTGTTGAGTTGTAGACCTTTAAGGAGTGAAAAGTGAAACTTAGATTGATTTTGGCCTTTCCATTTCTGAAACCTACAAAAATTCATTTAATTTTTTTTTCTTGATCCTATTTGGGGATCCAGATTTGCAAATATCATTTTCATGCAGGAAAATTCCGGTTTGCTGTCAATCTCATAGCCTCTTGTTAATTCATCATCTTAAGAAATATAGCCATTGTACAAATATTGACTAGACAGGATGAGATCATTCTTAGGAAAACTTGTTTTATCAGTCAGTGGTATGATTACAGAGTTTGTTGTGAAAATTTCTGTTAAACATTTTTATTCTGCCCTGATGTATTTAAGACAACAACGTTGTTGATCATAAGAAATACACAGTTTTTTTCTCTTGACCTGTTAGTTTAATAGTAAATATTTTTTTTCAAATTCTCCCTTTTAACTAATTTTCTGTGTTCTGCTAGCTAAAACGAGTAAAATGGCCTTTTATTTTTGAAAATTGGTTGAGTAATGAATATTTTATGAAGGTTAGCAGTTGACACTGAAACGTGACAAAAACTGATTTAAAGAAAGGTGCCAAGTCAAAGTGTAAAATCTTGTTTCTACCTCAATTTTTGGCAAAATCTTAAAAACTATACCTCTTTTGTCAGTTTTTTAATGTTAAAAATCTTTATTAGACCTCTGATGATGCAAAATTGTACAAAATTAAACAATTTCAAGCATGAAAATGTTAATCTTTATGTTTAATGTGTACCAAAGACTTGATTAAAAAACTTGGTAATGGGGAATCAAATTCTTACAGCTGAATCAACTATACATTTAATATATGTCAAAATGTAACATGAAATCTTGATAAAAATAATAATTTGATATATTCGCAAGAAAAAATACAAAACATTCAATACTTAGGCTACTACATACTGCGCAATCCTTCAGAAGCAAGGGTTAAGCAAATAGAGAACAATTATAAGCCTTGTGTCAAAATGTCTAATTTTGGTTGCTAAGGACTGTAAACAATAAAATTGACATGCATTGTCATTCTTAAACACTTAATCCCCTCAGAAGTTGATTTAGAATCTAAATATCAATAGATTTGTGGTATGAAAAGTCTTAAATTATACAATTCTGAGCTTGGTAAGTATGCCATAATAGTAAATATTTTTTTTCAAATTCTCCCTTTTAACTAATTTTCTGTGTTCTGCTAGCTAAAACGAGTAAAATGGCCTTTTATTTTTGAAAATTGGTTGAGTAATGAATATTTTATGAAGGTTAGCAGTTGACACTGAAACGTGACAAAAACTGATTTAAAGAAAGGTGCCAAGTCAAAGTGTAAAATCTTGTTTCTACCTCAATTTTTGGCAAAATCTTAAAAACTATACCTCTTTTGTCAGTTTTTTGATGTTAAAAATCTTTATTAGACCTCTGATGATGCAAAATTGTACAAAATTAAACAATTTCAAGCATGAAAATGTTAATCTTTATGTTTAATGTGTACCAAAGACTTGATTAAAAAACTTGGTAATGGGGAATCAATTTCTTACAGCTGAATCAACTATACATTTAATATATGTCAAAATGTAACATGAAATCTTGATAAAAATAATTATTTGATATATTCGCAAGAAAAAATACAAAACATTCAATACTTAGGCTACTACATACTGCGCAATCCTTCAGAAGCAAGGGTTAAGCAAATAGGGAACAATTATAAGCCTTGTGTCAAAATGTCTAATTTTGGTTGCTAAGGACTGTAAACAATAAAATTGACATGCATTGTCATTCTTAAACACTTAATCCCCTCAGAAGTTGATTTAGAATCTAAATATCAATAGATTTGTGGTATGAAAAGTCTTAAATTATACAATTCTGAGCTTGGTAAGTATGCCATAAGGTAGCAATAAACAGTTAGGAAAAATTATTAAAATTTTCCCTCATAAATTTTACTATCCCCTTTTCATTGCCTTCTTGCAATATCAAGTTGACTGTGTCATATATGTGCATATGTATGTAATCAGAATCTTCCATAGATTTCATATCCAGTATATTAAACGGTAAAATATAATTTCTTTTTGGTGTATCCATGGCAACAATCTGCATTTTTTTGTTATAAAATATAGCAAAAAGGGGGGAAAAGATGTCACATATTTCCCCAAAATTTGGCCAAAAGTAGAATTTCAATCACTTCAAGTAATACCTTTTCTGAAACTGTTTACTTATATCTTTCAATAAATCCAATGAAATTCACATGTCTTTCGTCTCATTTTTTTGTAAAATTGCGTCAAAAACTTTGTGTAGAAAAAATGTGTTTGTAAACATTACATTAATTTCTGGACCGATGACCGGTCTAGCTATGAAAATACGGAGAGTCAAACAGAAAATAGCCCATAAAATATGTAAAAAATAATCTTGATGTTCTTATAAACCACCTTTGAACTCTAAATTAGTACTCAGCTGTCTAAAAATGAATTTTATTACACAATAACTTTCATATTTGAAAAATCCACCGGGGCCAAAATGCGAAACCAAACTCCTAACTGTGTATTGCTACCTTAATAGTAAATATTTTTTTTCAAATTCTCCCTTTTAACTAATTTTCTGTGTTCTGCTAGCTAAAACGAGTAAAATGGCCTTTTATTTTTGAAAATTGGTTGAGTAATGAATATTTTATGAAGTTTAGCAGTTGACACTGAAACGTGACAAAAACTGATTTAAAGAAAGGTGCCAAGTCAAAGTGTAAAATCTTGTTTCTACCTCAATTTTTGGCAAAATCTTAAAAACTATACCTCTTTTGTCAGTTTTTTAATGTTAAAAATCTTTATTAGACCTCTGATGATGCAAAATTGTACAAAATTAAACAATTTCAAGCATGAAAATGTTAATCTTTATGTTTAATGTGTACCAAAGACTTGATTAAAAAACTTGGTAATGGGGAATCAAATTCTTACAGCTGAATCAACTATACATTTAATATATGTCAAAATGTAACATGAAATCTTGATAAAAATAATAATTTGATATATTCGCAAGAAAAAATACAAAACATTCAATACTTAGGCTACTACATACTGCGCAATCCTTCAGAAGCAAGGGTTAAGCAAATAGAGAACAATTATAAGCCTTGTGTCAAAATGTCTAATTTTGGTTGCTAAGGACTGTAAACAATAAAATTGACATGCATTGTCATTCTTAAACACTTAATCCCCTCAGAAGTTGATTTAGAATCTAAATATCAATAGATTTGTGGTATGAAAAGTCTTAAATTATACAATTCTGAGCTTGGTAAGTATGCCATAATAGTAAATATTTTTTTTCAAATTCTCCCTTTTAACTAATTTTCTGTGTTCTGCTAGCTAAAACGAGTAAAATGGCCTTTTATTTTTGAAAATTGGTTGAGTAATGAATATTTTATGAAGGTTAGCAGTTGACACTGAAACGTGACAAAAACTGATTTAAAGAAAGGTGCCAAGTCAAAGTGTAAAATCTTGTTTCTACCTCAATTTTTGGCAAAATCTTAAAAACTATACCTCTTTTGTCAGTTTTTTAATGTTAAAAATCTTTATTAGACCTCTGATGATGCAAAATTGTACAAAATTAAACAATTTCAAGCATGAAAATGTTAATCTTTATGTTTAATGTGTACCAAAGACTTGATTAAAAAACTTGGTAATGGGGAATCAAATTCTTACAGCTGAATCAACTATACATTTAATATATGTCAAAATGTAACATGAAATCTTGATAAAAATAATAATTTGATATATTCGCAAGAAAAAATACAAAACATTCAATACTTAGGCTACTACATACTGCGCAATCCTTCAGAAGCAAGGGTTAAGCAAATAGAGAACAATTATAAGCCTTGTGTCAAAATGTCTAATTTTGGTTGCTAAGGACTGTAAACAATAAAATTGACATGCATTGTCATTCTTAAACACTTAATCCCCTCAGAAGTTGATTTAGAATCTAAATATCAATAGATTTGTGGTATGAAAAGTCTTAAATTATACAATTCTGAGCTTGGTAAGTATGCCATAAGGTAGCAATAAACAGTTAGGAAAAATTATTAAAATTTTCCCTCATAAATTTTACTATCCCCTTTTCATTGCCTTCTTGCAATATCAAGTTGACTGTTTGTGTCATATATGTGCATATGTATGTAATCAGAATCTTCCATAGATTTCATATCCAGTATATAAAATGGTAAAATATAATTTCTTTTTGGTGTATCCATGGCAACAATCTGCATTTTTTTGTTATAAAATATAGCAAAAAGGGGGGAAAAGATGTCACATATTTCCCCAAAATTTGGCCAAAAGTAGAATTTCAATCACTTCAAGTAATACCTTTTCTGAAACTGTTTACATATATCTTTCAATAAATCCAATGAAATTCATATGTCTTTCGTCTCATTTTTTTGTAAAATTGCGTCAAAAACTTTGTGTAGAAAAAATGTGTTTGTAAACATTACATTAATTTCTGGACCGATGACCGGTCTAGCTATGAAAATACGGAGAGTCAAACAGAAAATAGCCCATAAAACATGTAAAAAATAATCTTGATGTTCTTATAAACCACCTTTGAACTCTAAATTAGTACTCAGCTGTCTAAAAATGAATTTTATTACACAATAACTTTCATATTTGAAAAATCCAACGGGGCCAAAATGCGAAACCAAACTCCTAACTGTGTATTGCTACCTAACCTTCTGTATGTCCCTGTCCCAAGTCAGGAGCCTGTAATTCAGTGATTGTCGTTTGTTGCTATATATCATATTTGTTTTTTGTTCATTATTTTGTACCGTTCAACAGGTTTTCTCGTTTGAATTGTTTAAGATTTGTCATTTCTGGGCCTTTTATAGCTGACTGTGTGGTGTGGGTTTTGCTCCTTGTTGAAGAACGTAAGGTGACCAATAGCTGTTAACTTCTATGTCATTTGGTCTCTGGTGGAGAATTGTCTCATTGGCAATTATACAGGGCTTCCAAAAAATATTTGAGCCAGCCGGATATTTTAGGTCATATCCCGATTTTAATCCCTTAAGACTTGGTATCAAAAGGCAACTATGGTAATCAGTTGGCCATCATATAACCAATGATTGACAAACGATATTAAACTTTACTTTTATATAAATTCGATGTTCTGACGTAAACTGTTAAATTGACAGTGCATCATTCGAAGTGTGCAACATCAGCATACTAATATCTGCCTTAGATTCTTTATTTGTGCAAAATAACTTTGTCAAAAACTTTTACTTTTGTTTTTAAAAAGCACATTTTCCTAATACCGGATGTTGACTTGACAATGGTAAAACACGGACCAGAGATGGATACGTAAAATCTGTGTACGTTTACAAAGCACGATTGAGTTTAAGTAGCTTTTTCCAGGTTATTTCTTCAAGAAAATACTTGAAATGAATGTTAGATAAAGGTATCAATGATAATTTTAGCATTTTTGAAGAATTAGGATGCATAATTAAATTTCCCACCTGCGCACACGTGTACTAGTTCAGACAAAGTGGTTCTGACGATTTTCGTTCAAAACCTTTTTAAATTTTTCATCAAATCATATTTATAAACATATTTCTGATAATTTCAATCTTTTTGACTAAATTAATTAGATGCAAACTGCTGAAATGTAAGAAAATAACTTTGAATAGACCGAACAATGTCCGGTACAAAATAGTTTACCTGTCGCCTGAACAGGTAAATTTCAGCTGTCCGACAACTAATTAACCTTAATGAGAAGGTATTAAAGTAGGGTTTGTTTTGATAGTACTTATTCATCATGTCACTTTTATGACCGGAAATGTGTGGCTGTTTAAGGCAAAAGATCGCATAAACTTCCTTTTTTTTTTTAATTATGTTAAAATGACCGTCTCTTAAGAAAGCCGTGAAAACTAAAAGTAGATGTCCGTTTCATGCTTTTCCCAGTCGGACAATGTCCGGAATATATGACCGTTTTGGAAGCCATGCAATTATACCACATCTTCTTATTTTTATAAGACAAATTTCTAACATCTTAGAGAATAGTCCACAGGAACCTTGACACCCTTCTACTGGCACAATTACTGATGCTCTACTAACCAGTCCTAACTCATAGTCTTACCGCTAAATGCTTAGTGTTAATTAGTTAACATGCAGAAAATACAAGATTTAATTCTGGTTTAAAGTGGCTGTGGATTGAACTCTCTAACCTCCACACTTGAGGAGTGTACTATACCCTGACCGCTGTTGCAGTTATTTAAAATTTATAGAGACCATAAATACTCAAACTACTTGAAGCTATCTGTGACTTTACAATATATTGTAGGACTTCTGGTTAAAAGAACTACTTGTTTATATGCCACAAGAGAGAGACTGAAAATAGTCAATGAATATTTAACAAGGGTAAGAAAAATACAGAGTTATCTCCCATATACTTGTAATTGGAAGTAGATATAAGGTACAATGAATTAAGAATCTTGTAAATAAACTTGATTCACAATTAATTATATAGTATAGTATATTTACTTACCGGTAAGTGACATTATAACGATGTAAGGATGAGGCTTAGAAAAGGGGTATATGAAAGCTCTGCAGAGCATTTCCTTGGTAAATATATGCAACTTCTTATATTGTTGTTATGTCAAGTCAATACACTATTGTTGTCTTTATACTGCAATCCAATATATTCTATACACATCTAGGTGTTATTATATTTATTTTTGATATATAAACTACTTTTCAAGGTTTACCACAGTGGCAGAGTAATATTGTTATGTTTCAAAATGCAATTTGTTGTAATCAATCATGATGGAGAGATTTATAATGGATAAATATATCAGCAATAAACAACAAACAATATTTTTTATTATTTTATCAACAAATAAGATTCAAGATTGAGGAAAAATATGTTTGCTCAATTTTTGTAGGAGAAATTAGTTTTGCTCCTTGCATAAGGAAAGTGTAAACATTTTATTTTCAATCAACAGATCAGGCCTTCCATCATCCTAGTGGGATTGTTAAAAGGAACCCCTTTAGAGGTGTCAGACCACCAATTCACTCCCTCCAATTTATAACGTATGCAAAAGTAGCTCTACTCTGACACAAAATAGTGCTTTTGATGTCATTGTTTGCTTAAACTAACCAATAAATTTGCAGAAATGAAACTTTTGGTGTTTATATTTATATTTAGACCATTTTGAGCCAAAATTTACTTGTCTATGAGTTTGCATTAAAACTTGAGGATTAATGCGCTCCATAGTATACTAATTTAAGATTTCCAGAAAACTAGGGGTTATTTTACTAGTACTTGTCTCCTGAAAGACAGTTCTTTTTTACAAGACTTTAAACATGGGTTGAAAATTGGCATGTAGAAAGATGATACATGTACAATTCAGGATATACCTAGTTTCTATGAAGTTAAACTTAAGGTAAAATATTAAGAAAGCTGTGAAAATTGCAAAATTTGGTTGAATAGATAGGGATTTTGAATTGGTGGTCTGACACCTTTAAAGCGAAAAGTGGTGAAACCAAAAAATCATAAAACAATTGATTATTTTGTCTTAACTGATCATTTAAAATGCAAGTAGTCACATTTCAACCTTTTTTTTTTTGTCAAAAAAGTCACATATTGCAAAATTAGAGCCTTAAACCTGAAACTGTGCTATTTTTAGCTTTTCCACCCTTACTATATGCATTCATATAAAAAAAAGTCTGAAATTGGTATGAATGCACAGTAAGTTGTTTCTGTGGTATTAAACATAAAAACATAGGTTGTTTACCACAAAAAAAAAATTGTCGTTATGAAGATTTTATGAAATTATTTGAATTTTACCCGTTATATCATTGCGTCATTCCATGTATTTGGCAGATAGCATAACACTGAATAAACTCACCCCAATCCCATAAATTGTCTCAAATGAAAGTTTTCTACCTTAAATTTTATTGACTAATAATAAATAAAAATTGTTTCATGACCATAACTGCATTATTGATCAATTAATAGTCCATTACTGACACCTGATGAAAAAAAGGGGGTCAATATTCCTTGGCACTTCAGTACCTTTGATTTTTTACTAAACTCATTGTAAAAATTGTGGTTCTTTAAAGTAGTAGGACAAATAAGGAAAAATCAACCAAAATTGATCTTGATATTGAAAGTTTATGTTCCTGTAGTCTGAAATTAAATTTTTAAGTATTTTCTATTAAAGTCATACATTACAGTCAGTTTAAACTGAGCTGTGAATTTTCCAATATAAGTCGCATTATGCTCAGATAGGATTTGTTTTACTACAAATTGACCAAGGATTAAGAATAAAGCAAAACAAAAGACTTCTGATAAACTTTTTTGTCTCTTTAGATGTCAGACCAACAATTCACTCCCTCCAATTTATAACGTATGCAAAAGTAGCTCTACTCTGACACAAAATAGTGCTTTTGATGTCATTGTTTACTTAAACTAATCAATAAATTTGCAGAAATAAAACTTTTGGTGTTTATATTTATATTTAGACCATTTTGAGCCAAAATTTACTTGTCTATGAGTTTGCATTAAAACTTGAGGATTAATGCGCTCCATAGTATACTAATTTAAGATTTCCAGAAAACTAGGGGTTATTTTACTAGTACTTGTCTCCTGAAAGACAGTTCTTTTTTACAAGACTTTAAACATGGGTTGAAAATTGGCATGTAGAAAGATGATACATGTACAATTCAGGATATACCTAGTTTCTATGAAGTTAAACTTAAGGTAAAATATTAAGAAAGCTGTGAAAATTGCAAAATTTGGTTGAATAGACAGGGATTTTGAATTGGTGGTTTGACACCTTTAAAGCGAAAAGTGGTGAAACCAAAAAATCAGAAAACAATTGATTATTTTGTCTTAACTGATCATTTAAAATGCAAGTAGTCACATTTCAACCTTTTTTTTTTGGCAAAAAAGTCACATATAGCAAAATTAGAGCCTTAAACCTGAAACTGTGCTATTTTTAGCTTTTCCCACCCTTACTATATGCATTCATATAAAAAAATGTCTGAAATTGGTATGAATGCACAGTAAGTTGTTTCTGTGGTATTAAACATAAAAACATAGGTTGTTTACCACAAAAAAAAAATTGTCGTTATGAAGATTTTATGAATTTGAATTTTACCCGTTATATCATTGCGTCATTCCATGTATTTGGCAGATAGCATAACACTGAATAAACTCACCCCAATCCCATAAATTGTCTCAAATGAAAGTTTTCTACCTTAAATTTTATTGACTAATAATAAATAAAAATTGTTTCATGACCATAACTGCATTATTGATCAATTAATAGTCCATTACTGACACCTGATGAAAAAAAGGGGGTCAATATTCCTAGGCACTTCAGTACCTTTGATTTTTTACTAAACTCATTGTAAAAATTGTGGTTCTTTAAAGTAGTAGGACAAATAAGGAAAAATCAACCAAAATTGATCTTGATATTGAAAGTTTATGTTCCTGTAGTCTGAAATTAAATTTTTAAGTATTTTCTATTGAAGTCATACATTACAGTCAGTTTAAACTGAGCTGTGAATTTTCCAATATAAGTCGCATTATGCTCAGATAGGATTTGTTTTACTACAAATTGACCAAGGATTAAGAATAAAGCAAAACAAAAGACTTCTGATAAACTTTTTTGTCTCTTTAGATGTCAGACCAACAATTCACTCCCTCCAATTTATAACGTATGTAAAAGTAGCTCTACTCTGACACAAAATAGTGCTTTTGATGTCATTGTTTACTTAAACTAATCAATAAATTTGCAGAAATAAAACTTTTGGTGTTTATATTTATATTTAGACCATTTTGAGCCAAAATTTACTTGTCTATGAGTTTGCATTAAAACTTGAGGATTAATGCGCTCCATAGTATACTAATTTAAGATTTCCAGAAAACTAGGGGTTATTTTACTAGTAATTGTCTCCTGAAAGACAGTTCTTTTTTACAAGACTTTAAACATGGGTTGAAAATTGGCATGTAGAAAGATGATACATGTACAATTCAGGATATACCTAGTTTCTATGAAGTTAAACTTAAGGTAAAATATTAAGAAAGCTGTGAAAATTGCAAAATTTGGTTGAATAGATAGGGATTTTGAATTGGTGGTCTGACACCTTTAAAGCGAAAAGTGGTGAAACCAAAAAATCATAAAACAATTGATTATTTTGTCTTAACTGATCATTTAAAATGCAAGTAGTCACATTTCAACCTTTTTTTTTTTTGGCAAAAAAGTCACATATTGCAAAATTAGAGCCTTAAACCTGAAACTGTGCTATTTTTAGCTTTTCCACCCTTACTATATGCATTCATATAAAAAAAAGTCTGAAATTGGTATGAATGCACAGTAAGTTGTTTCTGTGGTATAAAACATAAAAACATAGGTTGTTTACCACAAAAAAAAAATTGTCGTTATGAAGATTTTATGAAATTATTTGAATTTTACCCGTTATATCATTGCGTCATTCCATGTATTTGGCAGATAGCATAACACTGAATAAACTCACCCCAATCCCATAAATTGTCTCAAATGAAAGTTTTCTACCTTAAATTTTATTGACTAATAATAAATAAAAATTGTTTCATGACCATAACTGCATTATTGATCAATTAATAGTCCATTACTGACACCTGATGAAAAAAAGGGGGTCAATATTCCTTGGCACTTCAGTACCTTTGATTTTTTACTAAACTCATTGTAAAAATTGTGGTTCTTTAAAGTAGTAGGACAAATAAGGAAAAATCAACCAAAATTGATCTTGATATTGAAAGTTTATGTTCCTGTAGTCTGAAATTAAATTTTTAAGTATTTTCTATTAAAGTCATACATTACAGTCAGTTTAAACTGAGCTGTGAATTTTCCAATATAAGTCGCATTATGCTCAGATAGGATTTGTTTTACTACAAATTGACCAAGGATTAAGAATAAAGCAAAACAAAAGACTTCTGATAAACTTTTTTGTCTCTTTAGATGTCAGACCAACAATTCACTCCCTCCAATTTATAACGTATGCAAAAGTAGCTCTACTCTGACACAAAATAGTGCTTTTGATGTCATTGTTTACTTAAACTAATCAATAAATTTGCAGAAATAAAACTTTTGGTGTTTATATTTATCTTTAGACCATTTTGAGCCAAAATTTACTTGTCTATGAGTTTGCATTAAAACTTGAGGATTAATGCGCTCCATAGTATACTAATTTAAGATTTCCAGAAAACTAGGGGTTATTTTACTAGTACTTGTCTCCTGAAAGACAGTTCTTTTTTACAAGACTTTAAACATGGGTTGAAAATTGGCATGTAGAAAGATGATACATGTACAATTCAGGATATACCTAGTTTCTATGAAGTTAAACTTAAGGTAAAATATTAAGAAAGCTGTGAAAATTGCAAAATTTGGTTGAATAGACAGGGATTTTGAATTGGTGGTTTGACACCTTTAAAGCGAAAAGTGGTGAAACCAAAAAATCAGAAAACAATTGATTATTTTGTCTTAACTGATCATTTAAAATGCAAGTAGTCACATTTCAACCTTTTTTTTTTGGCAAAAAAGTCACATATAGCAAAATTAGAGCCTTAAACCTGAAACTGTGCTATTTTTAGCTTTTCCCACCCTTACTATATGCATTCATATAAAAAAATGTCTGAAATTGGTATGAATGCACAGTAAGTTGTTTCTGTGGTATTAAACATAAAAACATAGGTTGTTTACCACAAAAAAAAAATTGTCGTTATGAAGATTTTATGAATTTGAATTTTACCCGTTATATCATTGCGTCATTCCATGTATTTGGCAGATAGCATAACACTGAATAAACTCACCCCAATCCCATAAATTGTCTCAAATGAAAGTTTTCTACCTTAAATTTTATTGACTAATAATAAATAAAAATTGTTTCATGACCATAACTGCATTATTGATCAATTAATAGTCCATTACTGACACCTGATGAAAAAAAGGGGGTCAATATTCCTAGGCACTTCAGTACCTTTGATTTTTTACTAAACTCATTGTAAAAATTGTGGTTCTTTAAAGTAGTAGGACAAATAAGGAAAATCAACCAAAATTGATCTTGATATTGAAAGTTTATGTTCCTGTAGTCTGAAATTAAATTTTTAAGTATTTTCTATTGAAGTCATACATTACAGTCAGTTTAAACTGAGCTGTGAATTTTCCAATATAAGTCGCATTATGCTCAGATAGGATTTGTTTTACTACAAATTGACCAAGGATTAAGAATAAAGCAAAACAAAAGACTTCTGATAAACTTTTTTGTCTCTTTAGATGTCAGACCAACAATTCACTCCCTCCAATTTATAACGTATGTAAAAGTAGCTCTACTCTGACACAAAATAGTGCTTTTGATGTCATTGTTTACTTAAACTAATCAATAAATTTGCAGAAATAAAACTTTTGGTGTTTATATTTATATTTAGACCATTTTGAGCCAAAATTTACTTGTCTATGAGTTTGCATTAAAACTTGAGGATTAATGCGCTCCATAGTATACTAATTTAAGATTTCCAGAAAACTAGGGGTTATTTTACTAGTACTTGTCTCCTGAAAGACAGTTCTTTTTTACAAGACTTTAAACATGGGTTGAAAATTGGCATGTAGAAAGATGATACATGTACAATTCAGGATATACCTAGTTTCTATGAAGTTAAACTTAAGGTAAAATATTAAGAAAGCTGTGAAAATTGCAAAATTTGGTTGAATAGACAGGGATTTTGAATTGGTGGTTTGACACCTTTAAAGCGAAAAGTGGTGAAACCAAAAAATCAGAAAACAATTGATTATTTTGTCTTAACTGATCATTTAAAATGCAAGTAGTCACATTTCAACCTTTTTTTTTTGGCAAAAAAGTCACATATAGCAAAATTAGAGCCTTAAACCTGAAACTGTGCTATTTTTAGCTTTTCCCACCCTTACTATATGCATTCATATAAAAAAATGTCTGAAATTGGTATGAATGCACAGTAAGTTGTTTCTGTGGTATTAAACATAAAAACATAGGTTGTTTACCACAAAAAAAAAATTGTCGTTATGAAGATTTTATGAATTTGAATTTTACCCGTTATATCATTGCGTCATTCCATGTATTTGGCAGATAGCATAACACTGAATAAACTCACCCCAATCCCATAAATTGTCTCAAATGAAAGTTTTCTACCTTAAATTTTATTGACTAATAATAAATAAAAATTGTTTCATGACCATAACTGCATTATTGATCAATTAATAGTCCATTACTGACACCTGATGAAAAAAAGGGGGTCAATATTCCTAGGCACTTCAGTACCTTTGATTTTTTACTAAACTCATTGTAAAAATTGTGGTTCTTTAAAGTAGTAGGACAAATAAGGAAAAATCAACCAAAATTGATCTTGATATTGAAAGTTTATGTTCCTGTAGTCTGAAATTAAATTTTTAAGTATTTTCTATTGAAGTCATACATTACAGTCAGTTTAAACTGAGCTGTGAATTTTCCAATATAAGTCGCATTATGCTCAGATAGGATTTGTTTTACTACAAATTGACCAAGGATTAAGAATAAAGCAAAACAAAAGACTTTTGATAAACTTTTTTGTCTCTTTAGATGTCAGACCAACAATTCACTCCCTCCAATTTATAACGTATGTAAAAGTAGCTCTACTCTGACACAAAATAGTGCTTTTGATGTCATTGTTTACTTAAACTAATCAATAAATTTGCAGAAATAAAACTTTTGGTGTTTATATTTATATTTAGACCATTTTGAGCCAAAATTTACTTGTCTATGAGTTTGCATTAAAACTTGAGGATTAATGCGCTCCATAGTATACTAATTTAAGATTTCCAGAAAACTAGGGGTTATTTTACTAGTAATTGTCTCCTGAAAGACAGTTCTTTTTTACAAGACTTTAAACATGGGTTGAAAATTGGCATGTAGAAAGATGATACATGTACAATTCAGGATATACCTAGTTTCTATGAAGTTAAACTTAAGGTAAAATATTAAGAAAGCTGTGAAAATTGCAAAATTTGGTTGAATAGATAGGGATTTTGAATTGGTGGTCTGACACCTTTAAAGCGAAAAGTGGTGAAACCAAAAAATCATAAAACAATTGATTATTTTGTCTTAACTGATCATTTAAAATGCAAGTAGTCACATTTCAACCTTTTTTTTTTTTGGCAAAAAAGTCACATATTGCAAAATTAGAGCCTTAAACCTGAAACTGTGCTATTTTTAGCTTTTCCACCCTTACTATATGCATTCATATAAAAAAAAGTCTGAAATTGGTATGAATGCACAGTAAGTTGTTTCTGTGGTATAAAACATAAAAACATAGGTTGTTTACCACAAAAAAAAAATTGTCGTTATGAAGATTTTATGAAATTATTTGAATTTTACCCGTTATATCATTGCGTCATTCCATGTATTTGGCAGATAGCATAACACTGAATAAACTCACCCCAATCCCATAAATTGTCTCAAATGAAAGTTTTCTACCTTAAATTTTATTGACTAATAATAAATAAAAATTGTTTCATGACCATAACTGCATTATTGATCAATTAATAGTCCATTACTGACACCTGATGAAAAAAAGGGGGTCAATATTCCTTGGCACTTCAGTACCTTTGATTTTTTACTAAACTCATTGTAAAAATTGTGGTTCTTTAAAGTAGTAGGACAAATAAGGAAAAATCAACCAAAATTGATCTTGATATTGAAAGTTTATGTTCCTCAGGCCCCCTCATGAAAAAATGGTGTCTGAATTCTGTCTGACAAGTATTCTTAATTTTTCTTATTTTTTTCTGAATAATGTCTGAATGGCTATAATAATTTACATTTATGCAAATGTCTGAATTTTTGCTGGATTTCGGACTTTTAAGGAAAAATTCAGAATTTTCATACGAACATTCAGACAAATCTCAGAATAGCATTCAGACACAAATCAGAATAATGTAAGAATAAATTAAGACATTATTCAGAATGAATTCAGAAAAATTCTGAACTTAATCAGAAAGATTAAGAAATAATCAGACAACATTCAGAAACATCCAGACAACATTCAGAAATATCCAGACAACATTCAGATGGATTCAGACAGATTCAGATATATTCAGAAAACATTCAGAATGATTCAAAATGTGGATATCCATACAAAACTTTGAAACTTATACAACAGAAATTCCCATAAAAACCTAAAAAGAAGTTCTTGAAGTTGAATGAAAATCAATGTGCTTACACATTGATGATGGTCAAATATCCATAGCCTCTAAACAATAATAAAAAATCCAAATTTTCAGGAAGTTTGTAAATTAATAGTTTCAATAACATAAAATTCAAACTTTAAATTTTCGATTCAATTTTATTATCTGATATGGATCTGTGATTCCCTGGTCTGTTCTTTTCCTGCCTCCAGCTCTCTTTTCTTTATGAGTAAATTCCCTTCAAAATAGAATGGATCATTTCACATAAAAATTATATCAAGTAGGTGCAGGTATCTTATACCTGAGTAAATAAAAAACAAGCATATGTCTTGTCTGCCCAGGGACAATAACTAAAATTCCACAAATTCTTGTTTGAACTGTTAGTAATTCTCTATAATATTTCTTTCTATTTCCCTAAATCCAACTCTTGACATTGATGATGTAAGCCATTGATATACATTTTATAAAAATCTGGCATGAATTGTACATATGAGTGCTATTTTCTATATTAAATTAACATTTCTAAGAGACTTAACTCCTGTCATGCCTGTTAAAATAATTCATAACCTCTGATATTTCGACTTGTCCCATATATTGCTTATACAAATTTCACAATAAATTTTATTATTCTCCTACAATGCAAGTTGAGATTGCTTACAATTTCAATTTTTTACCTAATTTATATTTGCAACAGGAAAAACTCATTTAAAAATAGTTTGTTTTGAACTGATTTTTACACTTGTCAAGGCATTGCAATAAAATTTTGATATATGTATTTCATTAAAATATGGTTTGAATTGCACACAAGAAAATCCCCTTTTTTAATGGAAAAAAAAACAAACAAAAACACAAACTCAAAATCTATAAAAAACCGAAAGGGAGCTAATGTCAATAGATATTAACAATTCACCAAAGTTTCATGCCAATTGGTTCAAGCGTTTTTGAGTTATTGTCTGACATGTTGTCAACGGACGGACAGACGGACAACGGTATACCATAATACATCCCATAAATGGGCTTATAAAAATAGGGTAGGTAGGTAGGCAATTTCATTTAATTTTACTAACACTTTTTATGCAGGTTTATCTGGTTACTATTAGGGAATCAGTCTTACTTTATCAGTGCTTGTTCCTAAATGGCATAAATGTGTTAGGGTTACAGTCCCCCCGTAAATGTTTGAAATTGAAAAAATTAACATTGAAAGTTATATAGGGTCAAGGTGTGCATCTTATTGATGTACGGTTAATACAGAAGAGCATGTATACACGGTAGCACCTCTGTTTATTGTTGTAAAATCTATGTTGAATTTAAAACGTTTTTGATTATTTGTGTTTTTGGGTTCCTGTTTCTTTGACATTTACGTTACTGTTTAGACAAAATAATTGTTTTTTGCATTATCCATTATGAATTCAAGTTAGAAAAGTAAATAGGTCAATCATAAACTGTGATCATTACAAGTAGCATAACCATTTTTTTAGTGTAAATATATAGTTAGAAATTATATGATTTTGGCACTAAATATACTGATCGACTATGCCAAGGTGAAAAATCAAATATTTGTATATTCTTATAAATTGTAAGGTTGCTGTGATTTATTTTGTGTCTCTTCTGTGTCATTCTTACCTCAAAACAATTGGTGTTTTTCCACATTATCATAAACGCAATGATGCAGATCATCTTTCATCTAACTTCAAATGGCCCAGTTCTTTTAAAAGAAGTGAATATTGTTTTTTATTGGTATAAATATTGATTTTGTTATCAGTCAATTAAAACCATACTAAATATTACTTTTAAACACATGCACATTTAAGCTACAACAATCTGTTCAATACCTATGTACTCTATAAAATAGTATGTGTGGTTCTAGTTACATCTAAAAAAAAAGTTAGGGTAGGTATTTAATAGCCTACAATAATTGTACCATATTCTATGTGCCTGTACCAAGTCAGGAGCCTGTAATTGAGTGGTTGTTGTGCTGTATGTCATATTTGTTTTTCTTTTTATGTTTTGCATAGTTTGTTCGAATGTTGTGCCATAACACCACTGTCCCGGTTGGTGCGTTCAAATTTAGTTTAACTCCTCCACATTCTATATGTGCCTGTCCAAAGTCAGGAGCCTGTAGTTCAGTGGTTGTTGTTGTTTCATGTACTGTCAATTATCTCTTGTTTTCGTTAATTGTTTTGTAATAAATTGGACTTTTAATTTTCTCAATTGAATTGTTTCATATTTTTCTTGTCAGGACCAATTATACATGTAGCCGTCCAATAAATGGTATAGGTTTGCCTCATAGTTAAATAGTGACATAAAAATTTTACAGGAACCTTTGTGATGTCCAGTCATGGTGGACAAATAGCTATAAGTTGTATGGTCCACACACAAGTCACAAAAATAAGAAAATTAGGAAGTGCATAATGATATACTTGTATTTATTCTTAGATGCATGATTTTTTTTATTAGTTTTTAGTGGCTTTGAACTAGCTGTCAGTAACTTCAAGTACTCTCAGATCAGTACTTAGTGTCTTTTTGTTGTTGGGATATACAAGTACCCGGCCACGTCCACTCTGTGTTTTTGTTAGATGTATTTTATTTGTATCCATCTGATGAGTTAAGCGCCTTTTTCAACTGATTTTATAGTTCGTTCTTATGTTGTACTGTTACACCACTGTCCCAGGTTAGGAGGGGGGAGGGATCCCGCTAACATGTTTAACCCTGCCACATTATGTATGTATGTGCCTTTCCCAAGTCAGGAGCCTGTAATTCAGTGGTTGTCGTTTGTTGATGGGTAACATATTTGTTTTTCTTTCTCTTTTTGTACATAAATTAGGCCGTTTGTTTTCTCATTTGAATTGTTTTACATTTGTCATTTTGGGGCCTTTTATAGCTGACTGTGGTATGGGTTTTTCTCATTGTTGAAGGCCGTACAGTGACCTATAGTTGTTAATTTCCGCCTCATTTGGTCTTTTTTTTATATACACCTTATCACTATTCCCGTCTGACCCGAGAATCTGTCCCGCTTTAACTATTGACCTCATACAACAATCACTTTTCCATTGTGGCATCACATATTTTGTATTATGACGTCAAAATTTTAACGGGAACCTGTGTGATGTCCAGTAATGGCCGACAAATAGTGATAAGGTGTATTGTAATTTGTAATTAAAATACTGTAAATTCAGAAATTATTGCGTGCATTTATTATTGAGATATTGTCATTTTCGACTAAAGCGTGATTTTAGATTTTGCGATATTGAGACAAATCATGTTTACTTCATATACAAAATTTCAAAATCATTAATGTGAGTTTAAATTATTGCGGTTACAACCCTGTCGCATTTTTCGCAATAATAAAAACATTGCATTAATTTCTGAATTTACAGTAACTCTTTTTGTGAAATCTTTATTAAAAATCAGTAATTGTCAGACATTGACCTATTGTTCCTTACTTTGATGTCATTTGGTCTCCAGTAGCAGTGGAGAATTGTCTCATTGGCAATCAAACCAGATCTTATTTTTATATTGACATTATTGTATATTGTATGGTAAGTCATTTCATTGCTTTTCTGTGACACCTTGCTTCCTCCCAGCAAGACTAAACATAGCCTTAAAACTAAAAGACCTCATAATGATTTGGACTATGACTATGTTTACCCATATCATATTACATGTTGTTTTGAATTTTGCATTTAATAAATATGGTATAATCTGACTGTATAAGGGTACAACCATTCAATATTCTGTTACAGGGGGAGGCAGGATGAATTTTGGAATATTTATTTTGTGATTCCCGATTGTTTTATTTTTTTGTTGTCAAAAAAAATATTTTCACACATAAAGTCTTAAATATCCTTTATTTTGGTGGGTAAAATAATTTTTCATTCTGATATCTTTAAGGGCAAGGCAAGATTATTCATTTTCCAAATCCCCTGCTCCCACCCACAATATTAAATGGCCGTTTCCAAATCAAAAAATTGTCAATGGACTCATCATACCCGTTTGGAGACATTGTTCTTAGCCTGTGGTGGATAGTTCATTCATGCATTAGTTGTATGTGCGGTTGGATTGACACTGACAGTTCACAAGTTGTAGTCAATTTTCTGGGCAAGTTGAAAACCATCTTCTGAATGGCAGACGTCATCTTTTCCTATGATTATGAAGCTGTTTTATATATACAAAGGTTCTTGTTTATCTGTTCTGCAGCGTTCTTTCGTCGTCTGCGTCACAAGTTCTAGATCTCAGCAGTGTTTTAACATGAAAACCGACTCCGGATCATTTTCCGGATTATAGTCTGTTACGCTCACCGATAAGTTCTATTAAATCGTAGGCAGAGTAAATAAATCGTACAAGGAAATTCGTACCTTATTTCTGAATCTAATATGGAAAGTTAATTAACCGACGTTAAATACGTTTATAATGTATTTACTGGGACTATTATATTAACTGTTATTGTAATTGTCCCAGGTATTTACAACAGTCGTATTTACGTAGGAAGTTATACAATTGGACAGGAAAAACGGGGTTTTTTTTTAGGCATTTATCATAAAAACAATTAACCTGCTAACCGAGTCCCTGTGAGAAAAACGTCCTGGAGTCCGAACATAAAATCTGGTTGGGTACCAAATCGTTAGTATAGGCTGTCCCTGTTTGAACTGATCGTATATAATCCACTTTATAATAATGGCAACTTCATCATATTTTCCCTACTGGAGCCTCAACGATAATTGATTCCTGTCAATCAAGTAAACATTTAACCCGATATCTAAATTTCCCACCAATGTTACCTCGTGCAGTCGACACGCTTTTGTATTTCGATGTCAGTTATGTTTAACATTTCTATTTTGTAAGCGATGTCAAGTTCCAATGCTCAAGTAGTCGATTGTATAATTTATGCAATAAACAAATCGTTTAAAAAACGAAATTTTTGTAAGCGATGTCAAGTTAGTTGATTGCATAATTTCTGCAATAAATATTACCTTTTAAAAACGGAATTGACTTTCACTCAGTAGATCAATGATTTAATCTTTTTTGGAATTTTCAAACTTGTCGGTGAAAAAAAAACAATGAATAAGGGCGATCTGATTCTGATGAAAACTGTTTGTTATTCACCCAAACTTTTATATTTGTTGAATTTATTGAAAACAAAATATTGCTGATGAAAGCAGTGCCGAAATTTTCATTTTCTTAAAAAAAAAGAAATAACGATATTAGAATGTTATCACTTGGCTTACACTTTTTTCTCAAGATCTAGAAATAGCAGCAGAAAAAAAATTCCTGTAATTTTACTAATAAAGGAGCTACCATTTGATGTTTAGGGGGAAAAGGGGGGGGGGGGGGGGGGGGGGGTAGGATGGAATTTGAAAAAAAAGAGTTTTGAGTAAAAAAAGACACGATGAGCAACTTGGCAAAAAAAAGGCAGGATGAAAATTTATATCAAAAAGTCAGGATAAAAAATGGCAGGACTGATTAGAGCGAAAAAAAGAAGGCAGGACAGAGATTACAACTAAATAAAATGCAGGACAACATTTTTCATCTTAGCCCCCACCCCCACCCCTAAAAATCAAATGGTAACTCCCGAAGTGGACGTATGTTTTTGACAAACAACAATGCACTTTTATTCTGACAGTAGCAAAAGTGCGAGACACATGGTTTCATAGAAACCATTTACATTTTTTTTTAATATAAAAAACATTCCAGACATCAGTATTTAATTTTTATTAACACTCGTCAACGAATATTCCATATTTTCTTTTTTCCTCTTGTCTGTAATTGTCTGAAAACATTTTACATCGTTAAGCTATTCTTTCGTTTGAGTACGTCATCTGTTTTGACCTCGAAAGAGTATCAAAATAATGGGGGGTCTTCGGCTCTCCATATATACTGTACCGCTTTCAACGGGTATCTTTCAATTAGATCAGATCCAAATTGTATATATGTGATAATCTGGGAACTATGTTCCTGGTGATAACTAAGAAATAAATGAATGAAGATGAATGGGGTTTGTAATACCAGCAACACCTCTGTACCTAAAATGGGTCACTTCTTAGGAATTTCGAATATATCAATGGGGTCCTATTTCACGGAGCAACATGTTTGCAATCAACTGATATAATTGCTAAGAACGACATTTCTCTTTGTTTCATTTACAAAATGGTATTCCTTTTATTGGGGGTCTCATTCGGGGGGGGGGGGGGGTTCTGATCCCGGATCCGGCTTATTGTTTAGTGAGAATCCCGTATCCCGCTTCTCGTTGCCATAATAGTGCATGTAATTTCCCGTTTTCACGCTTAATTATTTGACTTTCACGTGTCGCGCTTAAAACAAATCGGCCAATCCCGCGTTACGCTTAGACCCCAATGAGACCCACTTTATTCAGTTATACTTGATATTTTTGCACATTGAAAATTTCGTTATACACGGGAATACAGAAAAGATAATTCTTACAGTTTTGTCTGTCCTTGAAGAAACCAAAAATCGAGACATAGGTATATGCTGTTTCCGGCATCGACGGCAGTGGCTTTGAACAACGTATTACAAGTTAATTTGTGACTGTGAAACTTTTGCTTAGTTTACATGTATTAGTTTGATAAGGTCAGGTTATGGGGAACTACTAGAGGTAGGTCAATGATATTTGGTATGCAGTTAAACTAGCATTGGTGCATCTCATTTCCATGGAAATTATTTGACCCTGCACCCTCTGTCATGGTCTACTGACTTTGACACTTTTGCTAAGTCTTCATGTATTAGTTTGTGATTAGGTCAGTTTTTGGGGAACCACTAGTTGAACTAGCATAATAAATACATCCTCATTTCCATTGAGATTATTTGACCCTACCCCCTCAGTCATGGTCTATAGATTTTGAAACTTTTGCTTAGTTTACAACTGTATTAGTTTATGATAAGGTCAGTTAATGCATGGGGAACGTATTGTGATATGTCAATGCTATTTGGTATGCAGTTTAACTGGCATTGGTACATCTCATTTCCATGGAGATAATCTGACCCTGCACTATCTGTCATGGTCTATTGATAATTGGTATGCATATGTATTAGCATTGGCACATTTCATTTCCATGGAGATTGTTTGGCCCTGTAGCTTCAGTCATGGTTCATTGACTTTGAATATTTTGTTAAACTATTACTATTTTGATTTCAACATTTACATTTTAGTGTCAACATAACAAAAAGGTTAGTCATCTCTGTGTCAACAATTTATTAAACATAGTTCTGACACATTAAGAAAAATTAAGACATTTTTCAGAAGTTCTGAATTTGTCTGAATCATATTCTTACTGATACAGACAGATTCTTAATTCGTCTTACCTTCTTGAACATAATTCTGACACTTTCAGAACAATTCAGACACTTTCAGAAGTTCTGAATTTGTCTGAATAAAATTCTTATTGATTCAGAAATATTCAGCAAAAATTCAGAATTGTCAGCATCAATTCAGAATAGAAATATCGGGATTCAGAAAAATGCAGACATCATTTATCATGTAAGACAATTTCAGAAAAAATTCAGACATTTTCAGACAAATTCAGACAATATTCAGAATTTTTTTTTCATGAGGGTGTAGTCTGAAATTAAATTTTTAAGTATTTTCTATTAAAGTCATACATTACAGTCAGTTTAAACTGAGCTGTGAATTTTCCAATATAAGTCGCATTATGCTCAGATAGGATTTGTTTTACTACAAATTGACCAAGGATTAAGAATAAAGCAAAACAAAAGACTTCTGATAAACTTTTTTGTCTCTTTAGATGTCAGACCAACAATTCACTCCCTCCAATTTATAACGTATGCAAAAGTAGCTCTACTCTGACACAAAATAGTGCTTTTGATGTCATTGTTTACTTAAACTAATCAATAAATTTGCAGAAATAAAACTTTTGGTGTTTATATTTATATTTAGACCATTTTGAGCCAAAATTTACTTGTCTATGAGTTTGCATTAAAACTTGAGGATTAATGCGCTCCATAGTATACTAATTTAAGATTTCCAGAAAACTAGGGGTTATTTTACTAGTACTTGTCTCCTGAAAGACAGTTCTTTTTTACAAGACTTTAAACATGGGTTGAAAATTGGCATGTAGAAAGATGATACATGTACAATTCAGGATATACCTAGTTTCTATGAAGTTAAACTTAAGGTAAAATATTAAGAAAGCTGTGAAAATTGCAAAATTTGGTTGAATAGACAGGGATTTTGAATTGGTGGTTTGACACCTTTAAAGCGAAAAGTGGTGAAACCAAAAAATCAGAAAACAATTGATTATTTTGTCTTAACTGATCATTTAAAATGCAAGTAGTCACATTTCAACCTTTTTTTTTTGGCAAAAAAGTCACATATAGCAAAATTAGAGCCTTAAACCTGAAACTGTGCTATTTTTAGCTTTTCCCACCCTTACTATATGCATTCATATAAAAAAATGTCTGAAATTGGTATGAATGCACAGTAAGTAATTTCTGTGGTATTAAACATAAAAACATAGGTTGTTTACCACAAAAAAAAAATTGTCGTTATGAAGATTTTATGAATTTGAATTTTACCCGTTATATCATTGCGTCATTCCATGTATTTGGCAGATAGCATAACACTGAATAAACTCACCCCAATCCCATAAATTGTCTCAAATGAAAGTTTTCTACCTTAAATTTTATTGACTAATAATAAATAAAAATTGTTTCATGACCATAACTGCATTATTGATCAATTAATAGTCCATTACTGACACCTGATGAAAAAAAGGGGGTCAATATTCCTAGGCACTTCAGTACCTTTGATTTTTTACTAAACTCATTGTAAAAATTGTGGTTCTTTAAAGTAGTAGGACAAATAAGGAAAAATCAACCAAAATTGATCTTGATATTGAAAGTTTATGTTCCTGTAGTCTGAAATTAAATTTTTAAGTATTTTCTATTGAAGTCATACATTACAGTCAGTTTAAACTGAGCTGTGAATTTTCCAATATAAGTCGCATTATGCTCAGATAGGATTTGTTTTACTACAAATTGACCAAGGATTAAGAATAAAGCAAAACAAAAGACTTCTGATAAACTTTTTTGTCTCTTTAGATGTCAGACCAACAATTCACTCCCTCCAATTTATAACATATGTAAAAGTAGCTCTACTCTGACACAAAATAGTGCTTTTGATGTCATTGTTTACTTAAACTAATCAATAAATTTGCAGAAATAAAACTTTTGGTGTTTATATTTATATTTAGACCATTTTGAGCCAAAATTTACTTGTCTATGAGTTTGCATTAAAACTTGAGGATTAATGCGCTCCATAGTATACTAATTTAAGATTTCCAGAAAACTAGGGGTTATTTTACTAGTAATTGTCTCCTGAAAGACAGTTCTTTTTTACAAGACTTTAAACATGGGTTGAAAATTGGCATGTAGAAAGATGATACATGTACA